TCTCTCCTCTTTCTCCTCTCATCCTCTCTTTCTTCTCCTCTTGTGTATTTACAAAGTTAGAAAGGCAAAGGCACAACAAACATGTCAACTACACCAAGGGCAGCTCTTTTTCCCCCGAGCAATGTACAGTTCAAACCACTAATACACAACATCTTCACCGCATGACTCCCTAGTTAACCTCATTTATCCATTACACGAGTGTTGCAGACATGCAACAAGTTGTCTCTAAACAAGAATGGTAGAGAATGGCGCTCGCCAAACACATCTGTTGCAGTTACAGTTATTTGGTGATCAGCAAATGATTTCCCACCACACTTCTTGGCTCCCTGTCATATACCTGGTGGGGTGGTCTTGTGGTCTCCCATGGCAACCTCCCCTCCTTATTAGTCTGTCGCCACGACAACTGGCTGCCAGGGGTCCTTGGCTTCGTTAGCTCAATTAGACATATCCCATAATTATATTGTATTTCCAGGACACCTGGCTTTCCTCACAGCTAATTTAGTGCACCTCGCTTTCATGACACCTAATTCAGGGACTTCACTTCACTTTCAGGACAGTTCAGGACGGCTAATCTGGGGAACTACTTTCAGGGTAGCTAGTTTAGGACACCTAGTTCAGGACGGCTAGTTTAAGTCACTTGGCTTTCAAGACAGCTCAATCAGAATGGAGACCCTTGCCTGTGTAAATTTTCTGAAATAGTGGAATAGTTGAAAAAGAGTACATCTCCACAGCAGACTTTTCTGGCAGTTCATGCATGAGCCCTTTCAGCTCGCCGAGTTTATCATGTTTTGTTTACGACAGGTCAGTGTCCTAGCGTGTGTGAGACGGACGAGAAGGCGGCATCAAAACAACCAATTGGCCACGGTCATGGCACAATGCTGATATAGCGGCTTCTCGGCATGCCTTGTTTACATGCTCCTCTGTGGGGGGCTGCCCTCGCTCCAATGTTGCTGTACATTCATTCTCTCTAACACACTGTGTATAGTAGGATGTGTGTAGGAGGGAATGCATGGTTGCCAACAGTTAAATTATACACTGAGCACTACTGAGAGCATACAGAACTATTGAATGTATTGAATACATGGAGAAGTATGTGTACTATGCTGGCAACTTCACTGTTTGTTGGCAGTGTTGTTGATGTTTGTGCGGTAGGGGTGCTCTCTATTTGGAGTGAGGTATTTAATCGGCATTCTGAGGGAGGGAGGTGGTAGTCGGGCTGTGTGGAGAGAGAGAGGGAGTGGGAGGAATGCGAGGAACTCCGTGAGACTGATTGGGAACATTCCTGTCTTGGGTGGGGTCTGTTGGCTTTTGGGACGGGCAGCTAGCTCCAGGCTTTCCCCTTCCTTCTCACCTACACACAGAGCACACACACACACATCCTTCTTTTTGCTCTTCCATCTTCATCCTTTCGTTACGCATTTTCCACCCTGTGCCAGCACACACACACTATACTTACCCCGGCTCCTCTCCTCTCTCTCTCTCTCTCTTGTGGTGGAGCATATTCCCTCCGTAAGTGAATTCCTAGCCACAAACTCTTAGCTCATTCGGCCCAATCACTGCCCTTTTACCAACATTTTAGACATCATGTACTCCACTACATAGCTGAATTAGTAGGCAATCGTCGATCTCTGAACAAACACTTTTCCAAACACTTCTTCTCTAATTTGTTGTATTGTGTATCACTGACGCATGTTTGCACGAGCGACCCATGTAGAAAACAAAACTATCTCTCTCCTCTCAGATCCATGCCATTCCCCTGCGATCGAGCTGGGTAATGACATGTGCCTACGCCCCGTCTGGCAGTTTCGTTGCCTGCGGAGGTCTGGACAACATCTGCTCCATCTACAGCCTCAAGACAAGGGAGGGGAACGTGAGGGTCAGCAAGGAGCTGCAGGGACACACCGGCTACCTCTCCTCCTGCGGTTTCTCGACGACTCACGAATTCTGACTTCCTCTGGTGACATGAGCTGGTAAACAACTGGCTACTTTTCACCTCTCTCTATTACTCCCTCTGTATGCTTGATCTTGCTGCCCTACTTTTTGCTGGTCTCTGTCGACAATTTACATGAGGAACTCCTCTAATCCAGGCACCAATGGGACAGAAAAAAAATCGATATTTAGCGAAATGTCCTTATTTTAGGTGTTTATTGCATACAGTAACTGTTCTTGGGGAAAGAAAGGTGTCCTTATTAGCGAGGTGTCCTCATTTCAAGGGTGTCCTTAGAGAGGGGTTCCACTGTATTAGCACAAAAGAAAGTCCTTTCCCCCTGTATTCAACTCTTCCTATATACACCTTCTCTCCCCTCCTCCCATTACTCCAGTGGACTGTGGGACATTGAGCACGGCCAGCAAGTCCTGGGATTTGTCGGCCATACCGGTGACGTAATGAGTCTCTCTGTGGGTCCTGATAATAACACCTTTGTCTCCGGGGCCTGCGATGCCACCTCTAAGGTTTGATGATGAGCGTCTTCTAGATTGAGAGGTGGCTTGTGGTTGAGAGGGCCTTTCAATCTCAGAGTCACACGCACTCAACGTTTTATCTATCCTCACTTATGTATGTTACAGTGACATATTAACCTGCATACATAATTATTGCAGTAGATGTGTAGTCTGTGGTGTACGTGGGCACTGCACACCCAGTAAAACCAGCTGTTTCCTTGTGAGAGAGATACCTGAGAATTTCTTGATGGGATGCCTCTGATTGCCGTCCTGTAAAATGGTCCCGTAATGATTCAAATAAAGCATGTTCAAGTTTAACCTTACTCGTAGCACAAATTGTACTGAAGAACTATGCATTAAAGAATGCTTCACTTTTCTCCCTCTCCTCTCTCTCTCTCTCTCTCTCTCTCTGTGTCAGCTGTGGGACATCAGGAGTGGTCAGTGCCACCAGACCTTCACTGGACATGAGAGTGACATCAACGCCGTCTCTGTGAGTACTCGACTCCATTTAGTGTACACCATCTCCATTTAGAGCACACTACTCTGTATGTTTGAATTAACACTCAATATTCCACTTAGTGCACTAGCCAGTGTACAGTAAATATTCCAATTAGAGAGCACTGGTTCTAATTATAGCACACCCGTACTGTATGCTTTGTGTCCTGGTTCCAAAGAGATCATTGGCCAGACATGATGTAAACACCTCAATTAGAGTCCTTACCTTCAAAGTCTGTGCATTGTCTGATGTGGTCCCCTCACTTCACTTCAGAGGATTATCCTCCCTTCCCCCTCCCTCCTCCCTCTCTTATTCTCCAGTTCTTCCCTAATGGCCAAGGGTTTGCTACGGGCTCTGACGATGCCACTTGTAGACTGTTTGACATCAGAGCTGATCAGGTATGGCACCCCCACACACCCTCTCTCCCCTCCTCTTTCTACTTCACTCTCTCTCTCTCTCTTTCTACGTTCCTTTCTCCTTTTACACTCTCGTAGTTGCACCTGATATCAAATAGGAAAGCCCTGAAATTGCTGAAGCATTTAGGCCTGAATACATGCCACTTTATCCTCCCTCCCCCTTATAATTAGGAGCTGATGATGTACTCCCACGACATGATAGTGTGTGGTATCACATCGGTGGCCTTCTCCAAGAGCGGGCGGCTCCTCCTGGCAGGCTACGACGACTTCAACTGCAACGTGTGGGACGCCCTCAAGGGAGAGAGAGTCGGAGTTCTTACCGGACATGACAACCGCGTCTCCTGCCTCGGAGTAACCGACGACGGCCTCGCCATAGCAACCGGGTCCTGGGATAGCTTCTTGAAAATCTGGAATTAGAGGAGCGTCCCCCTCCCGATTACCGCCCGCAGTTACACCTTCTGTTGTATTCCACACGACATATAAACATATACTTGACCTGCCCCTGTCTTGCTTACGTGTTTTAAGAGAAGCAGTTATAATACATTTACCTTATAATTATAGTCTGTGTCTTTCAGCAAAGAACTATATTGTTAGCTACTGATTTCACACATAATACACACACACACACCCCAAATGCTTTTACATATGCACGTGCATATGCATAATGTATACAGCATATGTGTTTTCTTTCAGACTTTGTAGAGATCACATTGTACTGTGTGTGTGCTATATATAGGATGGTCTATTTTCATCGGTGTGTGTGTGTGTGTGTGCGTGTGTTAATCTCTCTAGATTTGTACAATTGTGTATTTAGTTGTTTATTATTATTATCACATTTTAAAGCTGTGCACTAAGCGTGAAGATGAGGCAGTGGCTGGCTAGCAGTCTGCATTGAGGTGGGGTATTATGTAACAATCATTCACCATAATATGGACACACATGCGTAAGAAGCATCCTTTTTTCCGGATTGCCCTATCTTACAATTCTGGTTTCTACACAGGAGAGCTTGTTTGTTAAACCTTCACCTATGCATCAATTAGCGGTATCGTCCATACGTGTGCTGCGCTGAGCGTTTGAACTGTAGTGCTTTTCATTTTAAACTGTAGCAGCAAGATTATTACAACACAGTATATAATATAACCTATTGCTATCATTCTGTACAGTACAATACAATACAATGAAAGAGGTCTTTGCATGGGCTACTGTATACAATGGATGTGCGTGTGGCTGGCTAGATGTAGTGTGTATGTGAAGACAGCAGTGTTGGGTCTTGGGTACAGATAGCTACCGTGTTCTAGTTGGTCAATGGAGGATAAGGGGAGAGAGAGAGGAAGGAAGGGATTATGCCTCTGCCTCAGTGGCCTCTGCGGTTCCCGCCTTGTCTCCATTCTCGTCCAGTTTCGCCTGCTTAGCCTGCCTCTCCAGAAATTCTTCTCCTTCCTGGAGAACGAGGAGAAATGGTTAACTGAACAATGCTTGTCTGTCACTAATACACAACGACAATGCGGAAAAGGCGAGTTTAAATTTGCAGTGTTGAGGGAACCTCATATATATAACTTAAGCATGCTGTAGATGTATATACTAAAACTGCATATGTGCAGTTTATACTAATTTGGCCCCAATGGAGGAGGAGGAGATAGAGCAATAAAAGGAAGGGTGAGTGTGTGGGACGGGGGAAGATTAAGAGAATGGAACCAGAGAGTGGCACATGTAGGAAGAGGACCTTGGCAGTCTGGGTCGTGGTGGAGGCTCTCTTGACGGAGGGCTTGGTGGGAGTGGTCTCGTCCTCCTTCTCTGACATCCTGCGGGTCTGAGAGCGGGTCCGACCTCTCTCCTCGCTGCCTAGAATATGGCTGCTGGCCTGAGGGAGGGGGAGGATGGAGGAGAAGAGAGAGCAACATTCAGAATTGAAATCTTGACACAAACCCAACTGACAACATCTGGAATGCCCACAACTGGGGAAAATGTCTATAATATGCTATCTAGTCCTGGCTTTCTGCTTGGCTCTGGAAAATTATTACTAGACACCCTGGTCTTCTCATAACTGCTTGCCTAGATGTCCATCTAAATCCCAAAACAGTTTTGCCTCCCCCTTAGTGGATTGGGTAGATATATATAATGGACACATAATATCGGAACAAACAAGAGCATGCTCACAAAGCAAGTGCAGATGGATAAAGGTGTATATCATCAAAGGAAGAGAAAGAGGAGGGAAGAGGGGGGAGAGAGGGAGAAAGGACAGAAGAGGAGGGAAGAGGGGGGAAAGAGGAGGGAAGAGGGGGGAGAGAGGGAGAGAAAGGCACAGAAGAGGAGGGAAGAGGGGGGAGAGAGGGAGAAAGGACAGAAGAGGAGGGAAGAGGGGGGAAAGAGGAGGGAAGAGGGGGGAGAGAGGGAGAAAGGAGAGAGAGAAATGGTGGAACCTCAGCAGTCTTAGCGATGGTGGTTGACCTCTTGACCTTGGTGGGTGTGGTCGGACTGGCCGCAGCAGCGGCCTCTTTCGTCTGTCCTCGTGTCTTTGCCAACTTCTGACCCTCCAGCAGAGCCTCTCCTCTGCTGGAGGGTCAAAGTTGGCAAAGACACGAGGACAGACGACAAGAGGCCGCGCTGCTGCGGGCAGTCGACCAAGGTAAAGAGGTAAAACACCATCGCTAAGACTGACGAGGGTCACAAAGGGCGAGACGAAGGGAGCAAAGAGAGAAAAAGAGGAAAGAAGAGGGAAAAAAGAGGAAAGAAGAGGAGGGAAGGGAGAAAGAGAGAAAAAAGAGGAAAGACGGAGGAGGGAAGGGGAGAAAGAGAGAAAAAAGAGGAAGAAGAGGGAAAAAAGAGGAAAAAGCTTCTGTCCTTTCTCCCTCTCTCCACCTCTCCCTCCTCTTTCTCTTCCTTTGATGATATACACCTTTATCCATCTGCACTTGCTTTGTGAGCATGCTCTTGTTTGTTCCGATATTATGTGTCCATTATATATATCTACCCAATCCACTAAGGGGGAGGCAAAACTGTTTTGGGATTTAGATGGACATCTAGGCAAGCAGTATATGAGAAGACCAGGGTTGTCTAGTAATAATTTTCCCAGAGCCAAGCAGAAAGCCAGACTAGATAGCATATTATAGACATTTTCCCCAGTTGTGGGCATTCCAGATGTTGTCAGTTGGGTTTGTGTCAAGATTTCAATTCTGAATGTTGCTCTCTCTTCTCCTCCATCCTCCCCTCCCTCAGGCCAGCAGCCATATTCTAGGCAGCGAGGAGAGAGTCGGACCCGCTCTCAGACCCGCAGGATGTCAGAGAAGGAGGACGAGACCACTCCCACCAAGCCCTCCGTCAAGAGAGCCTCCACCACGACCCAGACTGCCAAGGTCCTCTTCCTACATGTGCCACTCTCTGGTTCCATTCTCTTAATCTTCCCCGTCCCACACACTCACCCTTCCTTTATTGCTCTATCTCCTCCTCCTCATTGGGGCCAATAGTATAAACTGCACATATGCGTTTTAGTATATACATCTCCAGCATGCTTAAGTTATATATATGAGGTTCCCTCAACACTGCAAATTTAAACTCGCCTTTCCGCATTGTCGTTGTGTATTAAGCATTGTTCAGTAACCATTCTCCTCGTTCTCCAGGAAGGAGAAGAATTTCTGGAGAGGCAGGCTAAGCAGGCGAAACTGGACGAGAATGGAGACAAGGCGGGAACCGCAGAGGCCACTGAGGCAGAGGCATAATCCCTTCCTTCCTCTCTCTCTCCCCTTATCCTCCATTGACCAACTAGAACACGGTACCCAAGACCCAACACTGCTGTCTTCACATACACACTACATCTAGCCAGCCACACGCACATCCATTGTATACAGTAGACCATGCAAAGACCTCTTCATTGTATTGTATTGTACTGTACAGAATGATAGCATAGGTTATATTATATACTGTGTTGTAATAATCTTGCTGCTACAGTTTTAAAAAATGAAAAGCACTACAGTTCAAACGCTCAGCGCAGCACACGTATGGACGGATAACGCTAATTGATGCATAGGTGAAGGTTTAACAAACAAGCTCTCCTGTGTAGAAACCAGAATTGTAAGATAGGGCAATCCGGAAAAAAGGATGCTTCTTACGCATGTGTGTCCATATTATGGTGATGATTGTTACATAATACCCCACTCAATGCAGACTGCTAGCCAGCCACTGCCTCATCTTCACGCTAGTGCACAGCTTTAAAATGTGATAATAATAATAAAAAACTAAATACACAATTGTACAAATCTAGAGAGATTAACACACGCACACACACACACACACACCGATGAAAATAGACCATCCTATATAGCACACACACAGTACAATGTGATCTCTACAAAGTCTGAAAGAAAACACATATGCTGTATACATTATGCATATGCACGTGCATATGTAAAAGCATTTGGGGTGTGTGGTGTGTGTATTATGTGTGAAACAGTAAGCTAACAATAGTAGTTCTTTGCTGAAAGACACAGACTATAATTATAAGGTAAATGTATTATAAATGCTTCTCTTAAAACACGTAAGCAAGACAGGGGCAGGTCAAGTATATGTTTATATGTCGTGTGGAATACAACAGAAGGTGTAACTGCGGGCGGTAATCGGGAGGGGGACGCTCCTCTAATTCCAGATTTTCAAGAGCTATCCCAGGACCCGGTTGCTATGGCGAGGGCCGTCGTCGGTTACTCCGAGGCAGGAGACGCGGTTGTCATCGTCCGGTAAGAACTCAGACTCTCTCTCCTTGAGGGCGTCCCACACGTTGCAGTTGAAGTCGTCGTAGCCTGCCAGGAGGAGCCGCCCCGCTCTGGAGAAGGCCACCGATGTGATACCACACACTATCATGTCGTGGGAGATACATCATCAGCTCCTAATTATAGGGGGAGGGAGGATAAAGTGGCATGTATTCAGGCCTAAATGCTCAGCAATTCAGGGCTTTCCTATGGATATCAGGTGCAAACTACGAGAGTGCTATAAAGGAGAGAAGAAAGACGTAGAAAGAAGAGAGAGAGAGAGAGAGAGTGAAGTAGAAAGAGGAGGGGAGAGAGGGTGTGTGGGGTGCCATACCTGATCAGCTCTGATGTCAAACAGTCTACAAAGTGCATCGTCAGAGCCCGTAGCAAACCCTTGGCCATTAGGGAAGAAACTGGAGAATAAGAGAGGGAGGAGGGAGGGGGAAGGGAGGATAATCCTCTGAAGTGAAGTGAGGGGACCACATCGACAATGCACAGACTTTGAAGGGTAAGGACTCTATTGAGGTGTTTACATCATGTATGGCCAATGATGATCTCTTGAACCAGGACAGCACAGCATACAGTACGGACTGCTGTGTGCTATATAGAACCAGTGCTCTCTAATTGGAATATTTACTGTACACTGGCTAGTGCACTAAGTGGAATATTGAGTGTTAATTCAAACATACAGAGTAGTGTGCTCTAAATGGAGATGGTGTACACTAAATGGAGTCGAGTACTCACAGAGACGGCGTTGATGTCACTCTCATGTCCAGTGAAGGTCTGGTGGCACTGACCACTCTGATGTCCCACAGCTGACACAGAGAGAGAGAGAGAGAGAGAGAGAGGAGAGGGAGAAAAGTGAAGCATTCTTTAATGCTAGTTCTTCAGTACCAATTTGTGCTACGAGTAAGGTTAAACTTGAACATGCTTTATTTGAATCATTACGGGACCATTTTACAGGACGGCAATCAGAGGCATCCCATCAAGAAATTCTCAGGTATCTCTCTCACAAGGAAACAGCTGGTTTTACTGGGTGTGCAGTGCCCACGTACACCACAGACTACACATCTACTGCAATAATTATGTATGCAGGTTAATATGTCACTGTAACATACATAAGTGAGGATAGATAAACGTTGAGTGCGTGTGACTCTGAGATTGAAAGGCCCTCTCAACCACAAGCCACCTCTCAATCTAGAAGACGCTCATCATCAAACCTTAGAGGTGGCATCGCAGGCCCCGGAGACAAAGGTGTTATTATCAGGACCCACAGAGAGACTCATTACGTCACCGGTATGGCCGACAAATCCCAGGACTTGCTGGCCGTGCTCAATGTCCCACAGTCCACTGGAGTAATGGGAGGAGGGGAGAGAAGGTGTATATAGGAAGAGTTGAATACAGGGGGAAAGGACTTTCTTTTGTGCTAATACAGTGGAACCCCTCTCTAAGGACACCCTTGAAATGAGGACACCTCGCTAATAAGGACACCTTTCTTTCCCCAAGAACAGTTACTGCATGCAATAAACACCTAAAATAAGGACATTTCGCTAAATATCGATTTTTTTTCTGTCCCATTGGTGCCTGGATTAGAGGAGTTCCTCATGTAAATTGTCGACAGAGACCAGCAAAAAGTAGGGCAGCAAGATCAAGCATACAGAGGGAGTAATAGAGAGAGGTGAAAGTAGCCAGTTGTTTACCAGCTCATGTCACCAGAGGAAGTCAGAATTCGTGAGTCGTCGAGAAACCGGCAGGAGGAGAGGTAGCCGGTGTGTCCCTGCAGCTCCTTGCTGACCCTCACGTTCCCCTCCCTTGTCTTGAGGCTGTAGATGGAGCAGATGTTGTCCAGACCTCCGCAGGCAACGAAACTGCCAGACGGGGCGTAGGCACATGTCATTACCCAGCTCGATCGCAGGGGAATGGCATGGATCTGAGAGGAGAGAGATAGTTTGTTTTCTACATGGGTCGCTCGTGCAAACATGCGTCAGTGATACACAATACAACAAATTAGAGAAGAAGTGTTTGGAAAAGTGTTTGTTCAGAGATCGACGATTGCCTACTAATTCAGCTATGTAGTGGAGTACATGATGTCTAAAATGTTGGTAAAAGGGCAGTGATTGGGCCGAATGAGCTAAGAGTTTGTGGCTAGGAATTCACTTACGGAGGGAATATGCTCCACCACAAGAGAGAGAGAGAGAGAGGAGAGGAGCCGGGGTAAGTATAGTGTGTGTGTGCTGGCACAGGGTGGAAAATGCGTAACGAAAGGATGAAGATGGAAGAGCAAAAAGAAGGATGTGTGTGTGTGTGCTCTGTGTGTAGGTGAGAAGGAAGGGGAAAGCCTGGAGCTAGCTGCCCGTCCCAAAAGCCAACAGACCCCACCCAAGACAGGAATGTTCCCAATCAGTCTCACGGAGTTCCTCGCATTCCTCCCACTCCCTCTCTCTCTCCACACAGCCCGACTACCACCTCCCTCCCTCAGAATGCCGATTAAATACCTCACTCCAAATAGAGAGCACCCCTACCGCACAAACATCAACAACACTGCCAACAAACAGTGAAGTTGCCAGCATAGTACACATACTTCTCCATGTATTCAATACATTCAATAGTTCTGTATGCTCTCAGTAGTGCTCAGTGTATAATTTAACTGTTGGCAACCATGCATTCCCTCCTACACACATCCTACTATACACAGTGTGTTAGAGAGAATGAATGTACAGCAACATTGGAGCGAGGGCAGCCCCCCACAGAGGAGCATGTAAACAAGGCATGCCGAGAAGCCGCTATATCAGCATTGTGCCATGACCGTGGCCAATTGGTTGTTTTGATGCCGCCTTCTCGTCCGTCTCACACACGCTAGGACACTGACCTGTCGTAAACAAAACATGATAAACTCGGCGAGCTGAAAGGGCTCATGCATGAACTGCCAGAAAAGTCTGCTGTGGAGATGTACTCTTTTTCAACTATTCCACTATTTCAGAAAATTTACACAGGCAAGGGTCTCCATTCTGATTGAGCTGTCTTGAAAGCCAAGTGACTTAAACTAGCCGTCCTGAACTAGGTGTCCTAAACTAGCTACCCTGAAAGTAGGTTCCCCAGATTAGCCGTCCTGAACTGTCCTGAAAGTGAAGTGAAGTCCCTGAATTAGGTGTCATGAAAGCGAGGTGCACTAAATTAGCTGTGAGGAAAGCCAGGTGTCCTGGAAATACAATATAATTATGGGATATGTCTAATTGAGCTAACGAAGCCAAGGACCCCTGGCAGCCAGTTGTCGTGGCGACAGACTAATAAGGAGGGGAGGTTGCCATGGGAGACCACAAGACCACCCCACCAGGTATATGACAGGGAGCCAAGAATGTGGTGGGAATCATTTGCTGATCACCAAATAACTGTAACTGCAACAGATGTGTTTGGCGAGCGCCATTCTCTACCATTCTTGTTTAGAGACAACTTGTTGCATGTCTGCAACACTCGTGTAATGGATAAATGAGGTTAACTAGGGAGTCATGCGGTGAAGATGATGTGTATTGGATAAATCAGGTTAACTAGGGAGTCATGCGGTGAAGATGTTGTGTATTAGTGGTTTGAACTGTACATTGCTCGGGGGAAAAAGAGCTGCCCTTGGTGTAGTTGACATGTTTGTTGTGCCTTTGCCTTTCTAACTTTGTAAATACACAAGAGGAGAAGAAAGAGAGGATGAGAGGAGAAAGAGGAGAGAGGAGAAAGAGAGGATGAGAGGAGAAAGAGGAGAGAGAGAAACATACCTTGTTTGTGGTGTAAGCGTCCCACACAATCAGTTTTCCGTCCTGAGAAGCACTGACAAGGTTCCTAGGATGCAACCACAGAGAGAGAGAGAGAGAGAGAGAGAGATCACTGACACACACATTCACTCCATACCTCTATTTCTCGCTCCATTACTCATAATGGTACTCACTTTCAGTCTCAAATACCTACAACCTACTATGACACACACTACTATAAACAGACCAGTATTTAGGGCACTCATTGTAGCTTGTTATGCAACCCCTCCCCTCCATTCCTCTCACTCTCCCCCCTAACCTTGAATCAGAGGCCCAGTGCATGGCGTAGATCTTGGCCAGATGTCCTCTCAGTGTCTTCCTCGTCCTAAGACTGATCCTGTTGATCGGAGGAACTTCCGACGCCACTTCGCTGAGTGACGTGTCAGCTACTGCCATCCTTGCATCCTGAGGGGAGGGATGGAGGGAGGGAGGGAGGGGAGGGAGACAGATGGAGGGAGGAAGAAAGGTGAAAGTAGTTACACCACATTATACAAAAGGGTATATACCAACTAACACAAGAGGTGTGCATGTGTGTGTGTGTGTGTGTGTGTGTACACAGAGCATAGAGCTAATCAGTAGCTGGACAGCTCATTATGAAAATATTCATCACATGACCTCGAGCACTGCCTTATTTAGTCGACAGACCATATTTAACTCAGCCCCATATAATCATCTTCCCTCCCTCCCTCCCTCCTCCCTAACACAATGCACGAGTGAATGCGTGTGTTCAGAGTTGATAAACACAGGGTCATATATATTTCAACATTGCGGACCTAATCAACTATGTAATGATGTCATTCTACACGTATCATTCGGATCCAGCTATAGTCAGTTGACTAACGCAGACACTCCGCTGGTCCAAGACACACACTATCAGGTTTTTATTGTACCAACACACACACATTCATTGGCAATCTTCTTCTGCAATGGTGGACATATCACAGTACAAAGGACTCTGGGGTCTGTCTATAGGCACATTAATACATGTATACTTCTCCAAGGATGACACCTCGCTAGTTCTCCTTCCTCCAGGGACAGTGGCTGCCAGTAATTCAACCCCCGAAATAAGGACTCCTCACTAATATGGACACGTTCTTGGGTCTCATTAGTCTCCGGATTAGAGGGGTTCCACTGTATAAGTACGTCAATAAATATAACAGCATGGAGACGCAGAGATGCGGAACAAGTCAGAACAAACAGCCAATGCAAAACTACATTGACTTCACTACACTATCGCACACTATCTAGAACTGTCTGTTTTGCAACTAGCGGGAGTGACATGGCAATAAAATGTAAACTGAAAGAAGCCAACCAGCCCTCGTCTTACACTGAAAAGAACATCGACTCAGCAAACACGGCAACCCTAGTGGGAACTGGTCGGCACGACAACACAGAAGCCGTAGCAACAACAAAGGGTTGTCAGTGAGAAATCTCTACTCCACCTTCTCTCTCTCTCTCTCTCTGGCTGGTGTCAATCACACACCTCTCAGTCGCACAAACAACGTGTGAAAACTGAATGAATTGCACTGCCTTTTGCAACCTTCGAACCACTACATACACTACATACATACGGACTTGTCTAATCTCATCCTAAGACTATGTATGTATGTATGTATGTATGTATGTATGTATATGGTCTCGCTTCTAAACCGTGTGTGCCACAGGCTAGCTGCATGGGTAGAGAGGCCAGGTAGGATGGTGGGGGTATGATAGTAATAGTGTGACAATATGTTCTTTTGCTGATAGCGGGCAACAAACCCAGGCCATATGGTATAAACACACGGCAGACCTGTGCTTAATATAGAATGCCTTCCCACACACACAATGGCTTGATGACACAATGCACGAGGTTGCCGGGGCAACCAGTATTCCCAGGTGTTTACTGCTCGTCTGGCACAGTGGTCCAACCCACTCTCCAAGTTACGTCTCTTGTGTATTTGGACGGCTCTCCAGGTAAACAAAAACATGGCCTGTCTTTCCTCGGAAGGCACTCCCCATGTACACACATATCTACAATAGCCAGATTAACCAAACAACCTTTTCCCCGGCCACGTTTTATTAGTAGAAAAACCAACAAAACAACTGTTTCTACTTCCCCACTAGCCCTCTCTGTCAACAAAATTTCACTCTATCAACAAAAGTTGGGGAATTTCAAACCTTTTACACACAGCCTCGCCTCCACTATCGGCAACAGGCTCATAGACCACCACATCTTCTCTCGTGTGGAGAGAGTGGGAGAGTGGAAGCTGAAGTTAGGTGTCAGGTAAACGGGTTGGCTAGACAGGCATGCTGACAGCAGAGCAGTTGATTGGCTTTGAAGGTTTGACTGATTGGACACTTATTAGGGACTCTACCATCCCTACCACACCAGCTAGCTCTACACCAGCTAGCTCTACACCAGCTAGCTCACACACAAACACTGCTGGATGTCCAGTACACACACAAACACCAGCCAGAGAGAGAGAGAGAGAGAGAGAGAGAGGCAGAGAGAGAGGGTGGGTGCAGAGGAATAGTGCTGTGGTGCAGAATCCTAACATCATGGGTCGAGGGCTATATAATTATACCAGCTCTGTTTATGAACTGACTGAAGACAACAGCAGCAACTGAAAGAGCAAGCACTGGGGTTATCAAACCAGGCCCTCCTATAGCTGTCCCCTACTCACTAATGAGACAGGCGACACCCGCTCTCCCCCCTACCCCACGCGCTAGGGACCCGCCCAAACCTCGTCGGCGTCTTTCTCCGGCGTGTCCTTACCCTAATCTTTTTTCTGAGGTTTTCGGCCTCTTGTCTCAGTTGCTCTAGATCTGCCATGGCGCCTCACCTCACGCCCGCTCCTGCCAGCACACGATACAGAGAGAAAAGAGAGAGAACAAGTCACTAAACTCATTTCAACGGAGCCCGCACACTCCGCCAGCAGAGAAATCTGCGCTAACCGGTAGAGAACTCACGGTTTTTGCTGGATAGAAGACTGGTTCTCTACGAGGTACAGTTTATTTCTCTCGAAGCAGCAGCCCTTGCCTTCTCCAAGGTGGTCGACACACACAAACGCAAAAGGCGCAGCCGTTTCCTTATTTGGTTTATTTTTCCTCGGGCGACCCGCAAAAAATTTGTGGGCTAGGCGTGGCCTCACTACAGACACGTGACTTTTTGTTATTGCGATTACGTCATTTGTCAATTAGAGCTCACACGTGCTTGCTGCGCCCACGCAAAGGTGGGCTATATTTAGAACACGCTAAGTGCGCTCTAATTGGACAAAACGGAGGATGGCGAGCGAGGTGCAACTTGATGCCCTGCCGTACGTGGACCAGGGATATGACGAGCCTGGAGTGAGGGAGGCGGTGAGTTTCACACCTTCCTTCCTGGATCACTCGTGCAGAATACATTACCTCATCACTGGTGATGTAATTTCAGTAGAAAAAGCGTGAGTGTGTGTTGTGTTTGCAGGCGATGCAGTTGGTAGATGAAGAGACGAGGCGGTACAGACCAACCAAGAACTACCTTGATTTCCTACAACCACCCAAATCAACTTTTGAAGTACTAAACCTTTTGGATTTTTCTCTCTTAGTATCTCTCTCTCTTTTGATAGACAGACATTCTGAGGTCAGAGTTTGAGAGATTGGCTGCTAGGCAACCGATGGAGCTGCTCAGCATGAAGAGGTCAGAGTTCGCCACACACACACACACACACCCTCTCACCGACGAACGTCTCTCATCTCAAGGTACGAGTTGCCCCAACCAGCTGCTGCCCAGAGGAATGATCTGAGTGCCTGGGTTGAGAGCGTGGAGAATTCCATGGCTCAGTTGGAACACCAGTCAGGGAGGCGAGCGGCCATTTCTCTTACTCTCACTCTCTCCTGCTCTATTCTCTTTACCTTCCTCCTCTCTCGTCTCTTTCCTTCCTTCCTATGCCAGTATTTTGCACCCTTTACTGTGTGTTTTAGGGAAAAAGAGCAATGTGGTAATTAGCAGGGGCATCAAAATAATGAGCATGTGCCAGACGTCTATGGCGGGGGACAAGCCCCTTACGAAGAATGGAGGCGGTATTACATTCCTCTTTTTTCCCCTCACAGGATTGTAAACCTGGAACTGTTGTTGAAATACAGCAGTAACGAATGGAGAATGAACAACATGTAAGTGCCAATGTTCCTCTCTCTCTCTCTCTCTCTCTCTCTCTCTCTCTCTCTCTCTCTCTCTCTCTCTCTCTCTCCCTCTCTCTCTATGAATCATTACTTACTATTCTCCTAATCTCCCCCCTCACACAGGACTCTGACTCATATGGTTGGGAGAGAACAACACTATCTGAAAACCATCAGGTAAAGTACTCTGCACTCAAACTGATTCTGTTTTCACTGTGTGAATTCATTCCGCGTACGAATCTCATTGTCTCTAGTTTCTCGTTTCTGCGTGTATGTGTGTACTTATCTCTTTTCCTCCCTCTCCCTCCCCTCCCTCTCCCTCCCCTCCCCGCTGTTTCTCTTTGTCCCTCTGATCAACTTCTCTCAAAACCGACACTCTGTTCCTCAGACAAGAGGTCCAGGGAATAAACTGGCAGAGAAAGACTGAGCAGGTGGCAGCTGGAACTCAGCTCTCCACGCTCACCGACCAGTAATCCCTCCTTACCCCCTCCTCATCCCTTTCCTGTTCTCCTAGTAGCTTATATACAGCAGTGAAATGCAATAGAACTTGTGTAATACTGAGAGAGCCTACCGTTGAATTCCTTAGCATCTCAAGACTTTCGCTTTTTGTTATGTTACCGATGCTTGTCAGTAGTCAGTACAGTGCACAGTTTATTAACTTGACGATACAACGGTAGCAGACGACATGAAACTAAACCGAGTTTGTTGTCCTATTGTGAACCAGGCATTACGAGCCCCTGTCTCCACTGAAAATAGCGCTAACACATCTCTCGTCTTTCTCACTCTGTAGTTGGAACAGTCTCGTCAGAAAGAACTACGAACTTGAGCAGGTCTGCTATTTTCCATTACATCATCGTTGTATACAATGACATCATCATAATTCCGCAGGCGTGCACTGATCTGGAGAAAGAAGCGGTGGAACTTGGACTGAAACAAGGCGGACGACTCCAGCCTACCTCTTAGGAAATCTTACATAACACTTGCACACTCTCTTTCCTGTTGTCTGATCATGTCGTTATGATTGTTACATGATGGACAAATAAACACCCCCTGCATACACTTGTGCCGTCACTGACTGACACTTGAGCACATGTTCAAAATCACTGACATTAGAACTCTTAGCTAAACTCACGCTAATATACACAGAGAGGAGGAAAATGATCACACATTCAAAGGGGTAATGTAAACGCATAGGGCACACACATACACAAAAAGGGTAAGTTATGATAATACACTTATCAAACCCAAAATCCATTCACAATTCACAAGCATTCATGTATACATCAAAACTAAAGAAGAAAAATCCAAGTCTGATTAACTTGATAATTGCCAGTGATGTAATGATGATGTAATGCTCCCTCTCTACCAGAAGGGGCACCATCCGATGTAGCACTGACAGAGGTTTTGGTGGCTTGTGGCCTGCTCGATCAGGAGCTGGACTTGTCTGTCAACTGTCAGTGACTTCTCATGGGGGAAGTCATTTCCTGGGGGAAAGGAAATTATTTTTTGATGGTCCCCTGGAGTTCATATTAACGAGGTTCGACTGTATACTACTGTAATTATAAAGGTATATAGAGACCTGTTAGTTTGAGACGGACTCTCTGAGTGATGGCCACAGCTCTCTTGTTGAGTTCCTCTGGATGATAGCTCTGTGAACCTTGCCCTGGAGGAGGGAGAGAGAGAGAGAGAGAGAGAGAGAGAGAGAGGGTGGGAGAGGGAGAGAGAGGGAGAAGAGAACTGACTGTCCATGGAGAGAGGAGTTGTCCCACTGGTCTCTGGTATCCTCCCTGTCTCCTTGCTCTTGGACTTAGCTTTGGCCGTCTCTGTAGAGATAGAGAACAGAACACATAACTTTGATGAAGGTAGTAATATGGTCTAAATGGTGTTAAGACTATCTAAAGTCTCCAAGTGAAAAGACGGTCTCATAAACATTTCTAATACCTATGATGTCATAGCTAATGCAAATGATGTCACCTACCATCCATAAGTCTCCAGTTGAGGAGAGGGTCATACACGAAGGCCTCCAGAACGGCCATTACACTGTCCTTGTTCTCTCTTAGTACAGTCATCACACTCATGCATGTGCGACGGAAGTTACCCTCGATCCCCGTAACCTGGAGGAGAGGAGAGGAGAGGAGAGGAGAGGAGAGGGGAGGAGAGGGGAGGGGTTAAAACTGCTAAAAGTTTCGTACTTCTAGTGAGCAAGTGGGACTATAGTCAAAGTATTAGGGATGAAGTGCTTGTCATTTCGTTTACTCACGTGCCTGCAAAAAATGCAATCATTAACCCTCATTATTTGAGCGAGATAGGCGCAATTACGGTGATATAGTGTTACTATTCCACCCTCCGACTATAGTCAAAGAACTGGAGATGGTTTGTTTATTATTTCGTTTACTTACGTGCCTGCAAGAAATGCAAAACCGTTCAAACCTTAAGGCCTTTTTGAAGCAGAAGCTATTCTGGAGCTGAAACACTAATTTCATAGAGGCAAGATAATTTTGCTATTCCACCCTCCAACTATAGTCAAAGTATTGGGGATGGTTGGTTTGTCATTTCGTTTAACAACGTGCCTGCAAAAAATGCAATTGTTAACCTTCATTATTTGAGCGAGATAGGGACGTGTATATACAGTGAGACAGCACCACCTAGGTATTCAGTCTACAAGCCCCGCCCAGAGACCACACCCACCTCCATGGCATTGGTGAGCATGCGAGTGAGACGGAACGGAATCTTCTCTGGAAACTTTTCCCTCGTCATGGCAACCTCGAAACAATCGCCAAAGTCGATGTGCAGGATTCTGCCAGTCAGTCGGTCCAACATCAGGTTGGATGGGTGTCTGGAGAGAGAGGGAGAGGGAGTGAGAGAGAGACGGAGAGAGAGAGACGGAGAGTGTACCTGTCACCCAGTCCCAGGATGTAGCCAACCATTGACATGACAGCCAGCGACCTGGTGTAGTTAGTTCTCCTATCAAACCACACCTACAGACACATACATACATACATACATACATACATACATACATTATTACAGAGATTGCAGTAGGCGGAAGCAGATACATACATTATTCATTAACCCTCGCCTGCGTGCTTTTCATTATTACAGAGGTTGCAGTTTTTATGCCTATAAAAGGTAGTAGGTGGACACTGAAACATTAATGACGTCATACGGTAATAGGAAGGCCCTCTTCTCGCTCTCAGTCGGCGGTAATAATAATATGATCCCACCTCAGAACTGGGACTCTTGAGCCAGAGAACTTTGGCCAGATCGTCTCCGCTGGTGCTGTCGATGGCTTGTTCAAACACCTCTACCTTCTGCATCAGAGTCAGGTGGTCGTAGTCTGACGACATCTGGGAATAGGAGAGGGGGTTATTTATAGGTTTCCAATTTTAGTAACATTTTCTAAATTTAGCCCTTATACTGCCAGATTTCGTGTAATAAATGACCTGAGATACGTAGGGGTACCTCTCTCTATGAAGGCCAGAATATTGTCCCTCTCTACGCGGGCCCACCTGTAGCATGAGGCGATGTTCGATGTTGAGCATGATCTTCTTCTTCTCCCTGTAGTCTCTGATGAGAGAGTGGATGGTGTCGCAGTGGGGCACCCAGCCTATCAGTCCAGAGTTGGGAGACAGCGGAATCACCGAGTATCGCTCGATGCTGATGCACAGGGAGAGGAGGGAGGAGGGAGGGAGAGGAGGGAGGGAGAGGAGGGAGGGAGAGAGAGAGAGGGAGAGAGAAAATACTCATTTCTATCTACTGTATCGGTAAAAATTGATTTTGACAAAGTTTCCCTCCCTGTAAATTTACCAACTATAGATTGGGTATTGTAATATTATGCAAAGCTGTGTAACTAATTATGAAACTAGCAAAAGATTTATGGCAAGCAAATGTGTGTTCAAAATTTCAGCAGTTTTTACGTCTATTTAGAAGAACCGCTATCAACATACAACAATTGTGACGACTACTGCAAATAGTAGAAAAGAGTGTGAGTGTGTGTGATTGAACAGTATCTGGGGGTCAAGGGTAACTGACCTGAGGTGCCTCTTGAAGGTCTCGGGGTCGTTGCCAAGGAGAGTGTTTACCAGACCAAACAGCTGCATGACCCTCTCGTCCTGTCTGAGGTCCTCGTGTCCCTTCAGTAGGACATGTAGTCCCTACCATTGCTCCCTGGAGGGGGATGGCGGTAACAACAATACGTGTAAAGGTGAACCGGAGCATACGGCGTCGTAGTAGGTGTGGTCTTAATCTGGGTGGGCGTGGTCTAAATTATTATTTGGACTGTGCTTACATTGATCTCTCGTTGCTCCATAAACGAATAAGTAAGCAGGGTACACAACCTTGAGTGTTCAATCATAGTAGGTGTGGGTTTTAATCAGGATGGGTGTGGTCAATCAACAATGGGGCGTGGTCTCTAGTGTTGCCATAAGTCTGAATTCGTTCTCACCCTGGATGACCAGTTCCGAGGTCTCTGTTGGACGTGATGACATGAGAGTGGCGGACACCTCGAATGGGACAACGGGTTGTGGGTTCGTAGGTCACGGGGACTGCAAGCTCCAGGTCAACGCAAACCATCAGCTCGGAGACACATACTGCAGTTCTAGAGTGTCACTGAGAGAGAGAAAGAGAGGATATATCATTCTCGGACGACAAAAGAGTAGCAGCAGAGGCAAAGAGAAGGGTCTACACTCTGTGATACCAGCACGGCAGATCAGCAGATGGGCTTACACGGTGGGATCTGACTAACAGAACAGTACACATGATCAGTAATGGTGATACGAGCAGAGTGCAATAGTCTTCACACGGTCCACATACTACCCACACAAGGTAAAGGCACAGCCCAACTCTGCAGGAAAACAGTCACACACCAACCACAGTGAACATTTAAAAGTGACTCAAACACACAATATGTTAAACTCTTTAACACCACCGACACATAAATGTGCCAGAGACTCCATTAATCCTCAGAATTTATATAGGGGTATATACTAGGTGCTATACTTGTACATCAAATGATGCTTAGTTAAGCACAGCCCATGGCGTCAAACAGGGTCAGAGATAAATGTCAATGTTGGCACAGGATAGATTCTAGACTCACCGGCGGGCGTTGTCTTGGAGATCTTTAGAGACGTCGTAGGACAGTTCCAGGCTGAGTTCAGTCCTTAATGCGCAGTGCTCTGCGTATTTCTTACACCATGTCATAGGCCTCAGCCGGTCCTCCATAGGCGATACATCAGTACATATAGACCAGAGTGAAGAGAGATATATGTGTATACTTGTTTTGCAGTGCACATGCGTCCCTATCACGAGATATTGTGCGAATAAAATTTTGAGGGATCTTTTTGTCATGTAAATTTGTTAAAGAACAAGAGAGTACATGAGTGACGGTGTGTCTCACGTGGTTGAAGGATATTCTTGAGGTTCAGGTCCGCGTTCCATTCTGTGGTGGAGTGGTTCCAGGATCGAGAAACATGGCCTTCACATTGTGCTCCCCAAAGTATCCTGGGAGAGAGAGAGAGAGGGGCAGAGGGGAGGGCAACCGATAATCATCAAACAGTGTTTAGAGAGTCAGAAAAGAACAGAAGACACTTATAACGGCAGACAGATGCTATATATTGTGTTCACACCAGTGTATAATACAACTCCACATACTTACAATTTTTACATGTAAAGTGTTAACTTCTGAATATCGACACTTCAATGTCACAGTGTCTCATATTCAGAGGTTCACTGTACTGGTGGAGCGCGTCGCCTTAGACTGCAGAGTGTCGTGGGTCTCGAATCCCACCCAGGGCAGCTCTTCTTCTTTCTTTGAAAAGAAGAGCTGTCTGGGTGTAGTTGACTTGTTTGCCTTGCCTGCCTTTCTACTCGCTACCAAGTTGTTGAGACATGCCACACTGTAGTATGTACATCTCAACTGACTGACTATTACGGGAAGCATCCTCCAGCCCTCGTGCCACTGTTCATGCCAGAGGATGGCCACTCTTATTAGCTCCTCTGAGACCAGAATTGCCTGCTGGACCAGACGGCTGCTGTGTTCAGTCATGTTCTGGAGGATTGTGTCTGCCGCCGCACGTCTCATGGGGCTCTGGCTCTTACTGGCTACTGTCAGTGGGTAGATGAGAGCCTGGGGAGGAGAGAGGGAGATGGAAGGAGGAGAGGAGAGAGGGAGATGGAAGGGAGAGAGAGATGGAAGGAAGGGAGAGAGGGAGATGGAAGGAAGGAGGAGAGGAGGAAAGGAAAGAGGGAGGGAGGGAAGTAACGTGTGGAAACCATATTTAATAGTGTTTCAGACCTCTCATCAAATTCCCTCGTACCCTGCCAACTTTGTTAAGAAAAATGAGCTTGTAACATTTGTAGTTAAAGGGAATCTGACAGCATTTATTAGTAATATAATATTTAGGGCCTAGCGAAGAATGCAATTGGCTTCCTGTTTATCTGTTTAATTTTGTACATTCAGCATTGGTACAGTGGTGATTACCTACATGTATATGTGCAGTGTATCAGTGTGATGATGATGGTGGCTACCTGAGGATGCTGTTTCCCCACGTCAGTGAGGAGGTCGTGGATCAGTTTGGCCACCAGTCGTCGAGGATGGTCGATCCTAGCGATGAGCTGGGGAATTACCTGATCCAAGGACAGGGAGATGATAGAGAGGGGCATAGAACATCATTACATTGTACTCCCTCTCATAATAGTTGTTCGATTACATTAATCTCTCTCAATAATTTGATGTGCATTACCATAATCCCCTTCCTGTTCTCTTTGCGCATTTCTCTGCTATCTGTTTTATCTTGTATTTCTTTTTTTTTCTGTCTGAGCTTATAATGATGCATCATTACATATTCCCTCTCATAATGATGCATCATTACAAATCCCTTTCCTATATAACCTGTAGCCATGTATCAATGTCTATAGTTTGAGACCGTCAGTGACTGCATCGTGGACGTCAGGATAGTGACCGTAGTCAAACCACAGGGTTAACAGTCTGGGGGGGGAGAGGTATGTAGGGAGAGAATGGAACGAGTAGTATAACTGTACTGTTTGTTTGCCATCAAAAATTTCCATTATCCAACTTGATCATCTGTACTCCAACCACATGGTTTACTTACTGATGATAATGGTACAGGAATTGTGAGAACTACGGCAGAGGAAAATGAAAGTGAAATGTAGGGCCTGACCTCAGAGTGTTCCTGAAGAGAGCTCTGATAGGGTTCATAACCCACTCACAGGGGGTATTTTATCGGAGAGAGGTTATAGGGTTCATAACCCACTCACAGAGGGGGTGGGTATTTATCGGAGAGAGGTTCATAAGGTTCATTAACACACCACAGAGGGGTATTTATTGGAGAGAGGTTCCATAAGGTTCATAACCCACTCACAGAGGGGGAGGGAGTAGAGAGAGGTCGACCCACGCACAGAGGAGTTTCCTTGGGTATTATCAGAGAGCAGGCTCCTCTGTGGAGTAGGCAGGGTCGTGGCTGAGATGAGCGCAGAGTTCTCTCTGATAGCGGCCTATCTTGTCTGATCTTCTGACAGATGCGATGCTGGCAAACTTGACCAAGGATCTGAGTGTGCGCTCCTCCTGCTGACTCAGGACTATGGACCGGACCGCATGGGAGGTTGGAAAAAGGGAAAATAACATAGAATGGGAAATTGGGAGTGTGGGAATAGGGGAAGGACAGTATGGGAATGGGGAATTGGGAACGATAGAATTAAAAAGCAGTGTGTAAATGAGGAACAGGGAATGGGGTCTGACGGGAATGGAATTGGGAATTACAGTTTGAAAATGGATCAGAAAACGGTATGAGAATGATGGATTGTTACCTGCAGTATCCTCTGCCAGTCTTCGTGTTAGCTGACAGCCGCAGCCAAGTCAATATAAAAGTCAAAGTCACCGTTAGTACTAATATACCAGAAGTCGTATCCACCAGGTTCTGCTGAAGCTAGCTTCCTGTCGCTCTGCATAGGAACAGAACGGTCTCTTCAGTTCCGACAGCGCAGTTGGATTGAAACCATCAATCCGTAGGCTCGGCTGTAGCTCTCCGTTGCCAGGGTCGTCAGCTCCGTAACCAGGAGTCACGTGACAGTCAATACACTGATCAGAGGAGGGATGGAACAATGAAAAACATTTTGGAGAGTTAAAAAATTCCCCTTTTGAATTAAGGATCACAACCATTGATACACTAAACCTAGAAGATAGCTCAGTAAAACTTCGTAATTTATTTCCCTCACTATGCCGGTGAATAGGGAATATAATAGGTGTTGTTTTGTTGTATTTTTTGGTTGATTTTGGCATTTTGGTGTGCAAAAAATATCAAAAATACTGGAATGAATTTTCAAAATCGCTTCACTCCTAACCTTCTGGGCATCATCGAACTCCTTTTGGTGGATGTGGAGAAGGGCCTGGTAGAAGGAGCCCTCCATGGTGTGCTTCGGAATGCTGCGGACGTATTCCTCCATGCTCTCCCACTGTCCCAGTCCCCAGGCTGCCGCAGAGGCCATGACGGACATCTTCTGTCGCGTGGTGTCATCTCCCAGTCCCCAGCTCTCACAGGCCATCTCATACAGCCTTGTCCTGGGGGGAGAGGGGAGAGAGGGAGAGAGTGAGGGGAGAGAGTGAAGAGGGAGAGGGGAGAGGGGAGAGGGAGAGGGGAGAGGAAGATAAATGATTCAGACAACTAGTAGCAGGTTTAGTTGGGCAAAAAACCACTACAGAAGGTATACGTATGTTGCTGTAAAGTCAGATGTGTGTTTCAAACCCGACGTTTGGTTCTGGGACTCACCACTCCCCCATGGCGTGGAGACACCTCATCTTCCCGAGGGTGAGAGAGATGTCGTCAGGTCTCTGTTTCTGTCGCTCGGTGTACGCCTTGTAGGCCGCCTCCCAGTCATTGAGACTCATATACCACTTCTCCTGCACCTTCTGCTCTTACAACAACAAACAACAACAACAACAACAGTAAACAATAAACAGAATGGTAAACAATACTCAGCAACAGCCAAAATGATAAACAACAACAGTAAACAATGAAAAGCACTAAAGTGCAAACCCTCAGCACACTATATAGAAATGTGGAACCCATACATTGAGGGTCACACACAATCCCCAAGACACACAGACTCACGAAATCTCCCTTGATTTGCTGTTTGGCAAAGACAAGCACGCCGGCTGCGGCATCTGGCTGCTGAAGTTTGTTGTTGATGGAGATGAGAGCCTCCAGGTTGTTGCTGGTGGGACCCCGGTGGAAGTCCTCCTCCTTGTAGTGGAGGGCCTTGGCGTAGGCCCTGCAGGACATGGCACACTCCCCGAGTAGCTCAGACGAGAGGGGGAGACGACCCTACGGACGAGGAGTCAGGGAAATGACACCGCAACATTGTATTTACATCAATTTTTTCCTTCTTAACTCTTCCCCCTCATCTCAATAGAACTCTACCTCTCTATCTCACTCCAACATTTCGCTTATTCACACATTCTATCTCACTAAAACCTTTCGTTCTACCCTCTATCTCACTCACATCTGTACCAATATCACATCCTACCCTCTATCTCACTCACATCTGTACCAATATCACATCCTACCCCCTATCTCACTCACATCTGTACCAATATCACATCCTACCCTCTATCTCACTCACATGTGTCAATAATCGTAGACTACTATTATAGGTAAACTAGAATGGAGTATATGTATAAGAATGAAGTAAGAGTATATAGAGTCAGGGGTACAATAAGTGGTATAATCCACCCACGGTAGCCTCCTCGCAGTGCTCCATGAACTCGGCCAGGTTGAGAATGGTCTGAGTGATCTCGGGGATGGTCTGATGGGTGAGAGCCTGTCTCAGGTTCGTGACCAGGTCCTCCTGGTGTACCGGTCTGGAGAGACGGAGGGAGAGGAGGGAGGAAGAGGAGGGACGGAGAAAGAGGAGGGAGAGGGAGAAACCAAACCGAAAATTTTACATGAAAAACAAGGTTTACTACGAAACATCCCAGGTATACTACGGGAAATCAAGTACCTCGTGTGGACCAATCAGATTGCTCGATTTAAATCAGCTATGCACTAAATCTCAATTGGCACACAACCACTCGTGAAACAAACTCCAATGCCATATTATAGTCATCAGTTCAACTATGTTTCACAAACTGTACAAAATAAAAATTTCCACTGATGGCTCATCAAAGGTTCTCTCCTTTAAAGAGCTAAATTTATACCAAGAAAGTGCTACATTTACGTGTATATGCCTAAAATTGTTAAAATTAGCTCCCACTCTCCAACACTACACACACAGTTCACCTCAGTTCCATCCAACAGGAGACGAAGGCAGCGTTAAACAGCTCTCTGGCTAGAGTATTGTAGGCCTGGGCCAGCGCCCAGCACGACCTTAACGAGGGGGAGGGGCTTTCCTTCAGTAGCTCCACCCCCAACCTCCGCAGCCACTCCACCCAGTCCTCCTTCGAGACACGTCCGACCGACGACCATGCCTAGTGGGAGGGGCTTGGAATGAGACCACACCCACTAATTAACATACCCGCGTCAGGGCATTTGGTTCCAGAGGGAATTTCTTGAACGATGCAGCCTCGATTTCTGCTGAGTCGTCTTCCACAGATTTCGATTTTCCAGCCTTCAGTTGTCGATCGACGTCATCTTCAGGGGAGAGTGGTTCGTCCTGTAGGACAGGGAGGATTGTTGTCCTATAGGACAGGTGTGAGAGGTGTCCTGAACTTACTCTGAGGAGTCTTACGAGGAGCAGCTCGTAGTTTGTGTAGTTATATTTGTTCTTGGTCATCACCTGAGTGGCAAGAGGGACAGAAACCACAGTTGTATCAATAAACAATGAAACCTCCAAATAAGGGACACCTTTGGACATCAATAGTCCATATTAGGAGGCGTCCCCTACTATCTTGTCCAAAACATTAATAGAACACCAATAACTTTTCTTTATAGCGCAGGTAAAATAGGATGCAAGTGGGATTAAAGAATGTAATCAGCACCTTTTTCACCATGGGGATGAAGATCTTGTACCGCTGGCCGAGCTGGGTCATTAGGGAGCAGAGTGCGTCCATGGCAACAGGGCGGAGCTCTGAGCTGGTATCCAGGACGACGACAATGGAATGTATGATCTGAGAGGCGTAGTCGCTGAAGTCGACAGTCTGACTTAGTTTCTCAATGGTCTCCAGGGCAGTCCTGGTGGAGGGAGGTCACATGACTGGTCACATGACTCTCTAGTAAACTAACCTCCTGGTGTCAGTATATTCCCCGTAAACTAGCCAGTAATCTAACCTCCCGACGGCAATATATTTAGTCAGTAATCTCTAGTAAACTAACCTCCTGACGTCCGTGGGGTTGGTGTCGGTCTCAAAGACCTTGACAATGGGAGGAATCATGAGATGGAGGTAGTCGTCAAGACTAGCTCCACACAGTTGTAGGGCTGCCAGCATCTAGTGAGGGAGAGAGTGAGTACGTAGCTTTGCAAATAGAATTATTTCACTGCTCGTCCTGTAAATGTATGCCACCCATGCAATGCAAAGCATCTTTAAGGGAAGGGAGGGAGGAAGCGAAAAATGAGGCAGCTTAGTTAAATTCGATGCAAATGTCACTCCTCATCCTGTAAACTGGCTAAAAATTAAGCCACACTGGACATTTGCTGGAGAACATTGTATGGGGAAGTGTAGGGACGATGGAGAAATTACAGAGAGAGAGAGGGAGAGAGAGAGAGAGGACAGTTGGGTGGAGAGCCAGTGATGACCGACCTTCTGCGTGGAGATCTTCATTTTGCTCTGGTCTTGGAGGAAGAGTTTCAGGACCGGCTCCACCATGCGTGGAATGTAGATCTTGAGTTCGTCCCCCATCCCGGCCACTATCTTCTCTATGAGGAGAATGATGGTGTTCTGGAGGTGTTGGTGCTCGGTCGTCCAGAACTCCTGGGGGACGAAGGAGGGGCAGAGAGAGGGAGAGAGATGGAAGAGAAGGAGTGGAGAGAGAGAGAGAAAGAGGAGCAGAGAGAGGGAGAGAGATGGAAGAGAAGGAATGGAGAGAGAGAGGGAAAGAGGAGCAGAGAGAGGGAGAGAGATGGAAGAGAAGGAATGGAGAGAGAGAGGGAAAGAGGAGCAGAGAGAGGGAGAGAGATGGAAGAGAAGGAGTGGAGAGAGAGAGGGAAAGAGGAGCAGAGAGAGGGAGAGAGAGGGAAGGAGGAACAGAGAGAGAGGGAGAAGGAAGGAGGAGCAGGAGTAGAAAAGGGGAGAGAAGGAAGAGAGGGAGAGAAGGAAGAACATTTGTTTGATCATTACAATGTTTGTTCTATTTTCTTGTGTGCAGGATAGGGTGGTTGTATGTAGATCACAGCAGACTGTATGTTACCGCGCATGGAGATGAAACTTGGTACGTATGTGTATAACATGACAAACACTCTGTTTGAACAACAACAAATAGCCTCAGGGACAGTGTGTTTCCGTAATAAGCTTGATGTGACTATTGCTGCACTGCCTCTCACATCTCCAACCCCTCCCTCCCTCCCTCCCTCCTCACCCTGATGACGGAGAAGATGTCCTGCATGTAATCTCGTGCATGTTGTTTGATGATGGAGACGATCTGGGCCAGCTGCTTGAACATGTACTCCCGCATGTCGCGACTGCAGCTGCAGATAGCATGCAGAAATGGTGGCATCACCTAGTCAGGGGAGAGGAGAGGAGAAAAGTGTACAGTAAATACATAAATCACAAGTGTGAGAGAAAAACTCACTTGTGGTAGATAAGGCACCGATTTGATCCCCAGACTCTTGAATATGAACCCCAGAGCCTGTATGTAAACCATTACATAATAATGACATCATACCCCATGACGTAATGATGACATCACACCTGAATGGCCATGGTGTGGTGTTGAGAGAGGGACTGGTCTTTGAGTATTCTCATGAGTGAGTTGATGGCAATTGAGGGGTAGAAATCCTCCAGACTGGCTCCACTACCCATTGAGACCAGCAGGGCACTGGCTGAATCTCCCACTGCTATTGGGGAAGAAGTGATACACTAAGCACCTCCGCTAATGGAACACACGATCCTCCAAATAAAGGCCACAGATGAGATTTCCCTTGATCGGTGTGTTATGTAATCATGCACGCTGACATATGGGATGCTTCTATCACCCGCAGGTCACGGATCTTTTCTATCATTCTGGTACATTTATTAGGAGGAACCACTGTATTCATCATAAACTCTCTCCCACTGTATGGTGTGCAGATTACGTACCAGTTGACTGTCCGGGAGTGGTCTTGTCCATTGGTTTACTGAGAGGCGTCCCCATCTTGCTCGGCTGACAGTTCCTCTGCTGCTGCTTGTGTTTGTAAGGGTCCAGGGCTCCCAGCAGTCCCAGGACTCTCACCACCTGGACAACAGAGGGGGGAGAGAAATGGAGTCACTCTGTGGAGAAATGATGGAATTATCTGGTAAGAGAGAACATTGAGGGGAGGATAGGTCGGAAATGGGTGAAGATCTTTATGGAATGAGAGGTAAAGAAAGGGCGGAAGAAAGATGGGATGACACTACCTCTCTCTTGACTCCAGACGGCTGCTCAGTCTTTAGAAATGAGAACAGAACGTCCAGCAGGTTGGGGAACTGGTGGTAAGGCTCTATCACATATCTGACCACAGGGAGAGAGAGAGGGAAATTATAAACACCCCCAGGAATAAATCATTTACCCCTGCAACCTTCAAAGTCAACACTGGAGATATGCTACATCTGTAATACAGTACCAACTAAATGTTTTAGAGCTCACTCGCGCCAGGGCCTCTAAATCTTGTTTGTTGTCCCTCCACTCACCCCGTATTCTCTACCAGTTGTCCGAATGTCCAGAGAGCCACCTCTCTCCTTGCCAGCGAGCTGGAGTCCTGCAGCATCGTCATGAGGATGGGACAGAGGTCCTGGACACACCCCCGCATGTCCTCCCTGGCAACCTGTCCCGAGAGATGGAGACACAACTGACAGAGATGAAACAACAAACAAAGACACGCTTGCTCTGAGTGGGTCTGTCTCCCCAATCACTGCTTCGCAAGAACAGTATACCAGAAATTTCCACTCCATATCATAGTTGGTGGTATGTCTGTTCCCCACGTGTCTAATTAGGAGTCGCGAAGTTTGGAATAAAGTGCCCTCACCTGCACCAGTTCCCCAATGGTGGCCACGATGTTGATGACAACGTGGGAGCTCAAACTCTGGTTCCTTCAGTTCGGAATGAGCACCTGCACCTTGCAGGGCTGATTCTATAAGTCACGTCGAGACGAGAGACTGCACATCGCTACCGTACTGGCATGGATTCTACAGACAACATTGCGTAAATCACACGTGAAATATTCAACTGCTCTCTTCACTCCCTCTAGTATACCTTGAGAATTGGGGCGTGGTAAGGTCGGACTAGTTTAGGAGCGTTTGCCACAAGATGTCCCAGTAGCTTGGCGCTCTGCTCTTTGTTCCGGCAGACCCGCTGTGTACTACGCTCGTCAGGATCTGGATCAGGACCTTGCGGAGCGTCGGCATGACGAAGGCCGGGTTGAGACTGCTGAGTCGGCCTATGATACACATCGCCAGCTCCCTGATGCGAAACACCTGGGGGGAGGGGAAGGGGAGCGGGACTGACATCGCCTACTCGTGTTTCCTCCACACAATCCTATTATCATCGCCACCTTTACTCACTGACAGGAAAATAATTTTTTTAAAAGTTCATTTGCAAGCTCTTGCATGTTTCCAATGTATGTACATGAGAATGCTGTTCAGATAGATAGAGAGAGAGAGTTACATAAAGGGAACGTGTCATTACATAAGCGCTAAATTTAGAATGTTACTAAAGATAGAACTAAACAATAGGGCCCAGTTAAAGAATGCAATTATAATTCCGTCCTTCTCCAAAGCTAGCCATTATGCACTGCCACATTGTCTTTAAAGATTAGATTAGCTCACTCCGTCTTGCATGGCCATGAAGAGAGTGGTGAGGCTCTCAGCCTGTGCCAAATGAGGATCAAATCTCTTGTCCAGTGACAGGAACACACACTCCCTGATCTCATCGTCTGCAATGTACGCAGAGAGAGATAAACTTAGGAATTACATACCAATCTTATTATGCAAAGTATCTATCAATAAACATAGGCACTATAATATCTCACTCTACAAACACCATTACATGCATGTATAGTAAGCATAGTGTAACCCTTAGCAAGCCACGGGCATATATATATGCACAGAGCCTCCATAAGTCCATAAGAATTTACATATGGCTATAATACTAGGCGTTAATATGTTATAATACATCAATTTATTTAAGGAGACACCCATGGCGTTCAAAGGGCTCTAGTAAGTATGGTGTATATGTACCTGGGTCAGTGATACCGACGACCAACATCTTACTGAGGACTTCTCCCACCACCTGATGTGTACAGAAATAGAGGAAGGAAGAAGTTAGTGCGGTATAAATCTGTTTCTTGTTGACACAAACTTTCGTTCACTATCGCAGAAAATGCACATCTACTCTACACACACAGTGATTGGGTTATAATCCTTGCCAGGCATACCTTAGCACACACTCATGTATGAAACGTGCGCACTAAATCTCGTAGTAACTAACGTCAGGTTTAACTAAGTGCCCGCGACACCGTTTCCCCGCGCAACCCGCACATGGAAAAACAGGTGTGCGTCAATTGGAGTACATGATTTCTAGTCACACAGTAAAGGGCAAGGGTTAGAGGTAGGATTAGCTGGACACCCGACGTCACCTGAGCAGATGCCTGTGAGAACTGAACAAAGGGAGTGGTAAAGATGGAGGGAGGGAGGAGAGAAGGGACCAGGAGAGCAGCACACGTCTTGACGGCCTCCATTCTGACCGAGCGGTGCTCTGAGGTCAGGTAGTGCTCTGCACAGATCTGTACCAGCTGCAACGGTGGGGAGGCTGAGGTATAGAGAGAGAGGGTGCAAAGGTTAGGGATGTAAGGATGCTCGTATAAAAAGCAAGGATACTGTATTAAAAAACACCAAGCTCAGGAGGAGAGATAGCAAGGCAAAGGCAAAGCAAACAGGTCAACTACACCCAGGACAACTCTTTCTTTCCAAGGAAAAAAAAGAAGAGCTGCCCTGGGTGGGATTCGAACCCACACCACTCTGCACACTATGCTCCTTTATGTGTAAGCATGAACACTGTCAATAGATAAGAGGGGTTTGTATGCAGTACATTGTACCAACCTCCGAAGTTGAATGATCCGAGAGTCTGTAGAGCTAGAGTTACACTTGGGATGTCTGCCTCCATTACGTTTCCCTGCATAGAGAATGGGCATTAAATAGAGTATGTGATGGTAAGCGAGGAAGAGGGGGAAGACCTTCATTAATATGGGGTAGGTAAAGGGAAGGAGATAGAGGGTTAGGAAATGAGAGAGAGGAAGGAGGAGTATATACTGGGAGAGGGGTGGGTTGGAGAGCGGCTGCTTGGGTCTTGGGAGCTCCTGGGTGTCTCAGTTGCTGGTGCAGTAGAACCATGTACAGCATCTTCAACAGCCCATCTGTGGGAATACGATGTAATCATCAACTCCTTACAACTACAGTATCATGCATCATGCAGATGAGTCCTTGGGAATATGATGCTCACACATACTACAATCATCAACTTCTTACAACTACAGTATCATGCATCATGCAGATGAGTCCTTGGGAATATGATGCTCACACATACTACAATCATCAACTTCTTACAACTACAGTATCATGCATCATGCAGAGTGAGTCCTGGGAATATGATGCTCACACATACTACAATCATCAACTTCTTACAACTACAGTATCATGCATCATGCAGATGAGTCATTGGAAATATGATGCTCACACTACAATCATCAACTTCTTACAACTACAGTACTGTATGTATTAACACCCGCACAGATGAGTCCTTGTAGCCATATTCGGCATTGTGCATTGCATGTCTCAACAACTTGGTAACGAGGTAGAAAGGCAAGGCAAGGCAAACAAGTCAACTACATGCATGTTAGTCCTAGTGCACAGGTTTGCATGTACTACATGTACTACATGCTGTAATGTACAACATGCTGTAATGTACAACATGCTGTAATGTCATAGAATCTTGTCAGGTTCTCATAATATTCAAGCGAAAAATGCACTATTTATATTCGAAACAGGTTCCCATGTTGAGACAAGGAAGCAATCTTACCAATATTGTAGTTTTAGTTTTAAAGTTCACACAAAAGGGGCACGTTGTGTGTATCGACAAACTGAGGCGGTAGAGTTACACCTTGAATCTCTCTCTGTAGTGTAGGAATCCTCTCCGAGAGGACCTGGAGGGCAGAGGTCAGCTCAACAGTGAGTCCCGCGGAGAACATCTGGTCCAGCATCCCGCTCATCTCGCTCTCTATGTTCCCTCCCACGGCCCTGGCCAGCATACTGATACACAGGAACACGGACGGCTCATATGCCGACCCACTGCGACTGGCTCTCCTGGGGTTGGGGGAGTAAAGTTCATGGATCTTTATCCTCGTTTCGGAACACCTCTCTAAGAACACTCTGTATGTTTACATGGTAACTTTTTAAGAGAAAAAAGAAAGAGAGAGAAGAGAAAGAGAGAGAGAGAGAAGAGAAAGAGATAAAACAAAGGAAGTAAGAGAGAAAAGAAAGAGAAATTGAGATAAAATATAAATAGAGAAGAGAGAGAATTAATAAAGAAAAAGAGAAGAGGCAGAGAAGGAGGAGAAGCTCACTTGGTAGGGACCTCCTTGCCGGTGGGGAGGCTGGTCTTGACGGTCTGCAGCACAGGCTCCAGATCCATTCTGTCCTTCAACACATAGACCATGAGACCCATGGACCTGAATGCAGCTGCCTTCTCCCTCTCCTTCCTCAGACAGCCCTGCAGGTAGCTCACTCCGTCCGTCAGGTGACTGAATCACAGAGAGATGAGAGATGAATTATAGAGTTTCATTTCAACTTTTTTACATCAACTGACCATAGCTTGTTACCTTGCAAAATGATGCACAAGTGAATAAATAGCATCATTTTGGGGTACATGTATAGCTATAGCTGGTCTTAGTTCAACCCAAACAAATTTGCCAGTGAGTACAGCTTTTTACTCACTTGAGTGCAAAGAGGTCCTGGTTAAGGGCAGCGATACGAGGAAGGAGAGTCATCAACGTCTGCTGAATCAGCATACTTCGACTGGTTCTGTTCTTGAAAAACAGGCGGCAGACTTCGTCAAAGTTCCTCATCATAAACTGCTGACACGCCTTGCTTGGCATCGCCTGTGGAGCCCACTCGTGGTCATGTGACATCACATGACAGTCACACGACTCCTCACCTTGAATTTAACTCTTTTCCCACCGGCGTAGCCCTGTGCGAACCCAGGGAACCTCCGAACAGTTCCCTGTCCTAGGGTTGCCTGGAAACCGCCTGTTTCGGAATAAGAAACACAACCACTGAAAAAGGGACACCTTGGGGACATTGAAAGTGTCCTTTATTCACAGGTGTCCTTTGGCAACCTGGCCTGGTTCCATTCGACCTCTGACCTCTATCGCAGCCGGAGACGAGGGAGTGTTTGTGCTCTCCCTCCATGAGTATGTCGAGTCCATTGTGGTCCTCGTTCTCTTCCGGGTCGCTCAGCTCCGGCCGGAGACTCTGACAGGCAGGGAGGGAGAGAGGGAGTTTACAAAGGGTTAAATGTGCTGCTACTTGCAGTCGGCATTTGGTTGGGTGTTCAATATATTCACTGGCATACAGTGGAACCCCTCTCTGAGGACACTCTTGAAATAAGGACAGCTCCCTGCTTCTCTTTCCCCAAGAACAGTTCTTGGGTGCAATTTAATCCTTGAAATACAGACACCTTACTAATATGAACATTTGTCTTCAGATTAAGTTTAGTCCCACTGTTTATGCTAGAGACCCCTCCATTATTACCTCACCATTACCTCATTGCTAGTTACATCACTATTACCTCGTCATTCCAGGCACTGTTCATAATGAGTTCGTTGATGATGAGGAGGGAGCCATGGATACGGTCGTCACGGCTGAGATTAGCAATTTTATCACGTGAGGAAGACCCTTCCCCAAGGCCATTAATTGCTTCGTCGTAAGCTCTCTGGTAGCTGCGAGTGTTGTTAACTGCCTCTTTTGTCTCCCTCTGTGCCGTCAGTCTCAGACACGCCCTCAACGCTGACACCGCCCTCTCCCTGATTAGAGCCTGCACCAGGAGTCATGTGACTTGTCTGATGTCATGTGACTATCATGTGACATTAGTTGAGTTACGCAACCTTATCCTAGCTCTTGCCTATGTACGTGTATATATGTACAAGTCTGAGGTAGGAGAAAGTTAAGGTCATGAAATTAGAATAAATACATAGGTCATGTGATTTTGCCTGAGGTCATGTGATCTATGCGAAAGTCACATGATTTTGCTAGAGGTCATGTGATCAAGTCATGTGATACCTTGGGATCCCTGATGGCGGTAAATATGTTGTCAAAGAACTGTTGGATTTGTTGATAGAAGAGTGTGGGGGTATGAACTGCCAGCTCCCTCAGAATCAGGACCTGCAGAATGAGGGGAAAGGAGGGAGGAAATAAGAGGAACGAAAGAGGAGAGAAAGGGTGTGGATGAGATGCCCAAATTGGTGGAGAAAACTTTTGCAAATCATATACAAGAATTGTGAACCAAATTGTTGTCTATGTGAAAGTTTGTGGTTAGTGCAAAATTCTACTGCTTGTTGCTTCAAGGTCGAAAGATTTCCAACAAGAATGAGAGAGAGAGAGAGAGTGTGTGTGTGTGTGTCAGAGAAAGCTAACAGCTGCGAGTCTCTTGTGTTCGTTTCCTCCGATCCACTCGAGAGCTCGCCTCACTTCGAACTCCACGTACTCTGCCGTGTATGTCCCTTCAGCCAGAGCCAGCTGGCCTGCGGGAGGAGGAGGAGGAGGGAGACATGGGTTGGAGCATGATTGGGGGAAACTATGTTGGTTCTGGCTGAAGGGACGTACTCTGCAGTGTACGTCCCTTCAGCCAGAGCCAGCTGGCCTGCGGGAGGAGGAGGAGGAGATGTGTAATACATATAGAAAATAAGCACATGAACAGAGTACAGAAAAAGCTGAAAAGAAAGAGTCAAACCAGAGAAAGGAGAGAAAGTGTAGGTTTGGTCAATGAACATAATGGGCTAGTGGTACATATATACCAGCAATTAAGATGAAACTGAGACATTGAGTGATGAAGATAAAAAACAAAACTAACGAGAGGTGGTAAAACTGACCAATGGCCTTGGCGGTCATTTCGGTAAGGGCCACATCGGGGTGTGGAAGGATGCTACGAAGGTAGTTGGCATAGCGACCCAACTTTGCGACATTCCCTCCTCCCTCCAGACCAACCAGACTCACTGCAGACATATAATCACGTGACACACGCTCAGGATCACGTGATCACTCACCTATGGCTAGGATCCCTCCCTTCTTCTCGTGGACCTCTTGGCTCGAGATGAGGGAGAATATATTTTGGTTGACGTCATCCAGAATTTCGCTGGATTGCTCGTCAGGCAGTTCTCGCAGCTCAGTAGACACGTACTTCTGGAGGTCTCGGGCCGCACGGAGCCTCGCCGCGTCGTTACGGCTCTTCAGTCCGGGGAAATACTGAGCCATCTCTACCGCTGTGCTGGACCCAAGTCCGGGCACGAGGATATCCGGAAATTCACAAGTTCCGTATTTCTCCGTGTCGTTTGCTCCGTATACGCTTGCGGACACGCCCACAAACACGTGCTGTGGCTTCGTCGTTGAATGGCAAAACGTTGTGCAGCGGGAGAAGGAGAGCTGCAGGGAAACGAGGAGATGATTTCTCCAGCCAAGAAGCTGTGTACCAGTGCAGTGAGCGGACTCCGTAGGATCGCAGTTGAAGGAAACATAGGTAATCACATTTCCCCTCATCTCCCTCCAAGCCTGCGTCTTGCACCCTACCCCCTCATAGTTTGCCCCTATCATGCTCCAACCTTCCCTTATCTCGCTCCTAGCTTTCCTCTTTCCCCTATCTCGCTCCAAAAATTTCGTCTTTGTTCCCTATCTTCCTCCAAGCTATCATCTTATTTCCTCTCTCGGGCTAATCGCAGCAACCTCTCTCCCTTCCCTTCCAGCTGCCGGCAAATCCACCTTCCTCCGCCTGCTGAAAGAGAGCTCTCCGGCATATCACGTCATCTCAGAGCCCATCACCAAGTGGCAGAACGTGGACTCCCCCGGTGACTCAGTGACAGCCTCTCAGCAGTGCGGGGGGAATCTACTGGACATGTTCTACAGAGAACCAAAGAGATGGGCCTACACCTTTCAGGTAGAGCCAATTAGCACAGTGGAACTCCTCTAATCAGGACACCAATGGGACAGAAGAAAGTGTCCATATTAGTGAGGTGTCCTTATTTCAGAGATTATTGCTAAAACTGTCCTTTGGGAAAGAAAAGGTGTCGTTAGTTTATCTTCAGAGAATTGTATGTGAAAACAGAATATACAGTGTCCTTGTTTCAGGGGTGGCGTTATAAGAGGGGCTCAACTGTCTTTTACCCACTCTCTCTCTCTCTCTCTCTCTCTCTCTCTCTCTCTCTCTCTCTCTCTCTCCTGCAGACGTATGCATGTCTGAGTAGGCTGAAGGCTCAGCTGAGACAGTTGCCTCAGGAGGTAGCCAGTCAGCCAAACTCCACCATCTTCTTTGAGAGATCTGTCCACAGTGACAAGTCAGCCACAGTTACAGACTCCAATACACACGCATCAGTACTGCATTCTTATTGTGTATAATCTATGCTGTGTTGGTAGCTAGGGCTTGTTACGTTTGTTACATACGTACCAAGTTGACATGCGATGAAGAGGTGTGTTTTTGCATTTGTTTGTGTGTTTGAAGAACAGCATTCATTCATGCCACTCTTTGTTCTGTTCTTTCCCTTTTACCCTCCCTCACCCATTCAATTCTATTGTCCCCCTCTCCCTCCCTCTCTCAACTACTCTATTGTCCCTACTCCTCCCTCCCTCCCTCCCTCCCTCCCTCCCTCCCTCACCCATTCAACTTCTATTGTCCCCCTCCCTCCCTTCCTCCCTCCCTCACTCCCTCCCTCCCTCTCTTCTCCTCCACCACGGGAAGGCTGGTATTTGCAGAGAACTGCCATGACTCTGGTCTCCTCTCGGATGTGGAGTGGAACATCTACTGCGACTGGCACAGCTTTCTGCTCGAGTCTCTGCCTCTCCATTTCGATGCCTTCATTTACCTCAAGACCACTCCCCAGGTAAATGTAAGTCACACTCTCACGTTAGATCAACACAATGTGAGTGAAGTGTGTTGCAATTGAAGCAATTGATGTCGAGTTGTGCAACATGTACTTATGACATGACATGTATGTAATATACTAGAATGAGCTTATACTGGAAATTTGCTCTGTGTTTCAGTTTTTCTTTGGCATCATGACAAAACTAAGGATAACGACAAACTCCATGTTGGTGGTGTTTTAGTTTTTTCACCTCTCTCTCTTCAGACCACGTGGGAGAGGATGCAGAAGAGAGGAAGACCCGAGGTATTACAAATTATTATCATTCATTACATCACTTGTCTTTTTCCACCATCTTCTACTCACTGTGTGACAACACAGGAACAAGACGTCGCCCTCGACTACCTGAAGTCTCTCCATGAAAAACACGAAAAGTGGCTGTTGGACTCTGAAAACAAAATGAAGTAGGGCAAAAATATTTTGCTCACAAAATTTTTGAGGAACGATTATTTTGTTGTTGTTGTGAAGTGTTCCAGATGGATCCCGTCCCCCTGTTCTGGTACTGGAATGTGACAGTGAGTTTGAAGAAGACAAACAGAGACTTCAAGAGCACCTGGACAGAGTAGCAGAGTTTATATCGTCTCTCTCTCCTCGTCTATGATGCTTTATACAACAACAGTGCTCTCGTGTGCAATGCGCATGCGTGTGAAGTCTCCGGATACTATGAATTACGGAATAAACACGTGGCCGAACGTTTACAAAAGATTCCGGAGGGTGTACGGCTTTTCCCACGTGTGCACTTTTCGTGGTGAATTTGGACGGAGCACGAGAAGCAGAGCAGTTCACGAAGTCATGGGAATCGAGAGCAAAAAGACGAAGGAAAAGGTCTGTTCGTGTCCAACTCGCCGCGCGTGGACGTAGCAGCTTCCCTGTGGTACCAGACGCGTGGCTTTTTCCACGTGCTCTGTACCTGTACCATTTTGTGTGTCTACGTACGTATCTCTGTGTAGAACAATGTACTTATAATGTACGTATGTTGTCTGGTGGCAGGTGAAGGGTAAGAAGGTGAAGGCAGCAGTTGAAGAAGAAGAAATGGAAGTGGAACAGGTGGAAGTGAAGAGCAAAAAGAAGAGCAAGAAAGAAGGTGAGTGCATTTACCACCCGCTCCCTCCCTCACTGCTTTCCTCTATCGGCACCTAACACTCCCCGAACTACGGCTCAAATTGTGTTAACTTATCCCCCTCTATCTTGCACATAGTAAGAAGGAACGATCCTTAAAAGGAACAGTTTTGTCCCCTTAAAAGGATTTCTAGAAAAAATGCCTAATTCTTTCTCCCCAGGGAAGGCGAAGAAGACAAAGGCCCCTGGTGTCTCCCCCTCCCCCTCCCTCAGCGAAGAGGAGGAGGAGGAGAAGTCAGCTCAAGCTACGAAGAAACCGGGCAAGGTGGCGGGGAAGAAGACCACCCCGTCTGCCAAGAAACCTGTCTCTTCGAAGAAGACGACCGAATCGGACAGTGAAAGTGAAAGCGATTCAGACGAAGATGACGGAATACCAATTCTAAAAGCAGCAACTACAAAAACACCGGAAGGAAAGAAGGCAGGAGCTACTCCAGCAAAGAAAGGCGCGGCCAAGAAGGCGGAGGACAGCGACGAGAGTGAGAGCGAAAGTGAGGAAGAAGAAGAGACGAAGCCAGCAAAGGCAAAACCAGGCGCGGGGAAGAAACAGAGCGTCACCCCTGGAAAGAAAGGCGTGGCAACTGCCGGTAAAAAGACCACACCCGGCAAAGGCACGCCGGCTAAAAAAGACGAGTCGTCCAGCGAAAGTGAAAGCGATTCCGACGAAGAGGATACGAAACGAGTGAAATCCAAGTCGCCACTCGCAGCCGCTGGCAAGAAGGTGGCTACTCCGGCAAAGAAGCCAGTTGCTGGCAAGAAGACATCGAAGGAATCTTCATCGAGCGAGAGCGAATCCGAGGAGGCGGAGGTGAAGGGAGGGAGGGCGAAGGTAGTGGCAAAGGCTCTCGGGGGGAAGGCTCAGGGTGAGGAGGAAGACAGCGAGAGTGAGTCGGAGGACGAGGAGGAGGGGAAACCGGTCAAGATGGCCACCAAAGCAGCTGCCAAGCCAGGGAAGAAGACGCAGGAAGAGGAGTCGTCTAGCGAAGAAGAAGAAGAGAAGAAACCAGCAGCAAAGAAAGCTGTGAGCCATTTTATACTTCCACCCGTTCTAATTAATCCCTCCCTCTTTCTCAAGGGGAAAAAGGTCAACGGGGATGCTGTGTCATCTTCAGATGAAGAAAGTGAAGAAGAGGTGGGCATCAATTAGAACACCTGTAAACTCTATCTCTGGTGGTGTGTAGATGGAGGTGGATGGCAGAAAGAGAGTGTCACCTGGAGGAGATGACCAGCCACCCAGTAAGAAGAAAAAGACTGAAGAACCTGGTATTCTTTCCTCCCTCTCTCTTTACTTCTCTCCTAACTTCTGAATCCCTCTCTCTCTCCCTCTCATTCCGTCTTTTCAAAAGTGAAAAGTTTACATCTTTTTTCCCTATAGGAACTCTGTTTGTGGGTAACCTGTCATTTGATGTCGATGAGGGCACGCTGAGCGACTTTGTGACATCACAAGGCCACACCCCCTCGGCTGTACGCATCATCACCAGGAACACTGGGGAGTCCAAAGGGTAAGCCACACCCACTGGCCTGATCAGCCTGCTCACAGTAGCAGAACACTTCCTTTCTTCTTAAAATGTTCATGAGTATGGCTTTAGCTAAGATGGTAAAAACTACAGTATGTATACTGGCGGTGTTGTATATACAGCATTTTGAAAGCTGCCTAGTTTTGCTACGTTCCATCACTCTACATCGTATGTTAAATCCATCATTTTATCTCTCTCCCTCTCTTGTCCTCCTCCATTTCCTCGAAGGTTTGGTTATCTGGAGTTTGAGAGTCTCTCCCAGGCAAAAAAAGCCTTGTCGTCACTCAATGGCCAGGAGCTGGAGGGAAGAGAGCTGAGAGTGGACGTGGCTGAGGCTAGGGGAGGCGGGGGAGGGGGAGAGAGGGGAGGGAGAGGAGGATTTGGTGGAGGAGGGAGGGGAGGAACACCACGAGGTAAGAATGATGTCATGCCGACTTAATTTGGTGTCATGTTGGATAAACTGTACGGTTTAACTTGTACAAATTAATGTCATAAAATAGAGGACTTTACCCAAAGTGCCTAGAACACTTACACAATAACTGTAGTTTTTGCATTTCGGATGCTATTCATTATGCGGTGCCCTTTATACTGTGTGTTGTTGTGTTGATAAGGTGGCCGTGGTGGCGGTGGCGGAGACCGAACTCCGACCGCTAGACTGTTTGTGAAGCTCTCCTACGACACGGAGCGGGAGACGCTGGAGGAGATGTTCCCCAATGCCACTGACGTCTTTCTCCCCCGAGACAGGGAGACAGGAGAGAAGAGGGGGTGAGAGAGGCTAGTCTCTGTATGTGTGGTCTGCAGCGGGGTGGCAGCGATCTGGGGACGTTTCTATTTCCAAGACCCAGACTTGTGTGGTCATAATGAGTCTTGTAAATTTAGTCAGTGTGTCCATAACAGTCTTCATTATTAGTATATCCAGACCGCACTAGACAAGACTTGGGTACCTGCCTTAACTTTACTGCACTGTAGAATAGGGTTTGGAGTTTTGCATTTTTTGCAGGCAGGAGAGTGCATGAAACGATAAACCAACCATCTCTGATAGTTTGACTATTGTTGGATTTTGGAATAGTAATGTAGTCTTGCTTTGCCTATCATTATCTCGCTTTCCCTTACAACTGACAATTTAGCATCATCGCGCTGTGTTCTACATTCTTATATTCCACTTTCTTTTGTATCACTTTTTATCTGCACTCACTCACACACACACGCGCACACACACACACCACACACGCGCAACACACACACACACACACACAACGCACACACACACACAACACACACACACACACACGCGCACACACACACACACACACACACACGCACACACACACGCGCACACACACACACACGCGCACACACACACACACACACACACACGCACACACACACGCGCACACACACACACACACACACACACGCGCACACACACACACACACACACACACGCACACACACACACACACACACACACACACGCGCACACACACACACACACACACACACGCACACACACACGCGCACACACACGCGCACGCACACACAGGTTTGGGTTCATATCATTCAGTGATGTAAGTGAAGCCACTCAGGCAATGTCGGATCACAACGGAACGGATGTTGACGGAATGTCCATCTTCCTCCGCTACGCCGAGGAGAGAGGAGATAGGGCGTCTGGTGGGGGAGGAGGAGGAGGAGGAGGGTGGGGGAGAGGAGGAGGGAGAGGGGGAGGGAGGGGATTTGGCAGAGGAGAGAGAGGATATGGCAGAGGAGAGAGAGGATTTGGCAGAGGAAGAGGAGGCAGAGGGAGAGGTGAGTGGGTCTTCATTGTATAATGTCGACATACATACAAATGCTAATGCTGAAGTTTTCCGTATAGTGGTGGTTTTTTCCCATCTTATTGAATGAAATCCTTTGGCTATTTACTTTTGAGATTTGCCAACCTTTGTGCAAGTTTTCTGGAACATGTGATCACACGAATGTCCATGTTTTTGTGTGTGGTTCTCTAAAGAGGCTAAAGCTGGGTTCGCAGTCTGTCACATTGCCCACTGGACGCCCATGTCATGCTGTTTCTCTAAGATCTAGCAGCTAAACTTTGCTGCAACGTTTGTGAAGCATTAGCATGTCTCAACAACTTGGTAACGAGGTAGAAATGCAAACAAGTCAACTCCACCCAGGACAGCTCTTTGCCTGTCTATGAAAACATTACCATCTTCTCCCCCTCTCTCCCGTCACAGGAGGGCCGTCTCCAGGGAGGGCCAGGAATTTCGGAGCCATTCAGGAATTCAGAGGCTCCAAGATGACATTTGACGACTGATTACATCGCTAAATATAGTACACACACCTTACATCATGCAAGTCTGTTACCAATAATAGCAGTTTCTTTCATGTGTTTATAAGGTGATGTATGTAATACTGTTGTAAAAATTGATAATGTTGTAAATTTCATCAAAAATAAAATTCTAAACAGAACTAAATGAAGGCATGAGTTGCAGCAGTATAAACAGGAGTTTGTGATAATTACTCTTAAAAAAAAATTTGGCTGCTAAAAATTTGCACGATTTTTTCAGACGTCGTCGACTTTGGACATGAGAAGAGGATTGATGTACTCAAACCCTTCGAACTCTGTTTGATCGATGGCTGCCAGGGTGGACCTGTGAGTGTGGAGAGAGAAGAGGATAGTAGTGGAGCGAGCGAGGACTATACGCGTGGGCATAAAATGATAAGTAAACCAAGAAAAGAAAAAACTGCCCTGGGTGGGATTTTAACCCACGATATTAGCTATCCAGGCAGAGTGCTCTACCAGCTGAGCCACTTGCCAGTGACGTGGTATATACATTCTTCCAACCACGGCAACTCAGCATACAGAGCTCAAGTCACCAGTAAAAACTCCACCATTACATCACCATTACATCATGATCCATGATAAACCTGGCTCCCGGTATATACAACTCACGGGTCGTCGGGAGTGAATTCAGTTGGTTCGACCACAAACTGGGGGTCAAAGTTCGAGGGGTCACGATCACTGTCAATTCTAGGTTTGTAGGGCGGAGTCAACTGTCGCAGCTTCAGCTGTGGGGCGGAGGGAGAGGGTGAGGAGGGTGGGAGGGAGAAGTAGACAGCTAACTTCACCTCAATCAGTTGTCTTTTGGTGCATTATGATAATTATAGTGTTTATGTAAAACTGTTTTTGGTGGCTCATTGTGCTGCTCAGGTGAAGCTAATCTGAATTGTGTGATTTTTCTAGTATAATATCAAGTGCTGCATTCACTAGTTAGTGATGATGTAATGATTACGTAATAGTAGATCTCACCAGTTCCCAGTCCACAGTCTTATAGAAGGCGTGTGAGACGATATCCTGGAAACCGGTCTGCGGATGACAACCAAGTCGCTCCGTCGGGTTCTGGGGGCGGGGTATCAATTACGATGATGTCATTGTTACATCATAGCTGTTTACCTTGTTGAGGAAGCCTTTGAGGACCTGTGCGGCCTTGACGGAGAGGGAGCGAGGAATCCGAATGGTCTTCTCCAGAATCACTGCAGCAACATAACAGCAACATACATGTAATTGGTGACAGGACACTCCAAATAAAGCACACTTCTCTATGGAAACTTGGTTCTGCCACATACAGTATGTGTGTGTGTGTGTGTCATTAGCATTGTCAAGGTATCCTTATATACCGTTGTAGGAAAATCAGTTACACATTAAACATTTTCCTTGACAGGTATATATGTATGTGTAGAATGGTAGAGAGAAAGGCAGATCTTGAAATCCTAATTTGCTACACTATAGTAGAGCAAAGAGCACGAGAGAGGGAGAGAGGGAGGGAGGGAGAGAGAGAGAGGGAGGGAGAGAGATAGAGGGAGGGAGAGAGAGGGAGGGAGAGAGAGAGAGGGAGGGAGAGAGAGAGAGGGGAGGGAGAGAGAGAGAGAGGGAGGGAGAGAGAGAGAGGGAGGGAGAAGAGAGAGAGCGGACCCTGAAAGAGGTAGTCCTCGGTGCTCTGGTCAGGCATGTCGTGACGATCTCCGATGTCAAAAGGACTCTTGCCGGCCAGCATCTCGTAGAGTAGGACACCCAGAGCCCACCAGTCTACTGAGAACCCTGTGTGGGGGGAGAAGAGGGGGGAAACAGTGTGGGGGGAGAAGAGGGGGGGAAACAGGTCAATTTGGAGTTCATTGAAATCTCTGACAAAAGGCTCAAAACCAACAAAATGAAATGCAATTTCGAGCAAATTGGAGTGCGAAATTTCAGTGAATTTAGGATTACATACTGCATGCCAGTATTGAGGACAGTGATAGATAATAATATGTAATCGTACGATTCAGACTTATAGGTAGGCTGCTTCACACGCCAATAAAGGCCACCTCTCTATAAAAGACACTCTGCTCTGCAACTATACAGCTCCCAGAACAATTGTAGTCAGCCACACGTAGAACAAAACTACGTCCCACCATTCACAGAGAAAAGGGAAACGAAAGGAAGTCAGATACCATAGTCGTGTCCGCGGAGTATCTCCGGGGCAAGTAGTTGGGAGTTCCGCAGAAGGTTGAGGTGGTGTCGCCAGGCCTCAGCCCCTTCTTACACATCCCGTAGTCGGTCAGTTTGATGTGGCCGTCCACGTCGCAGGAGGACGTTGTCCAGCTTCAGGTCTCGGTACACTACCCCTGTTTCAGAGGACGAGAGAGGGAGAGGGGGAGGACGAGAGAGGGGGAGGCCAAACCCTATCTAGTATCCATTTCAATTAATGCACACTTGTTTTGCGTGTGCAGGGTTGCTAAGGGAAACGGTGTCGCGGGCAAGTATATACATAAGATCTGTTACATAAGGTTTGTTAGGTGTGGGTGTGTACTATAAGTACATATATACCTCTCTCATGAAGGTAGTTGAGGGCACAGGAGATCTCTGCAGAGTAGAACCTGGCGTGTTCCTCGGGGAACCGGCGATGTCGCTGCATGTGGAACATGAGGTCACCTCCGTTCACACACTCTATCACAAAGAACAGTCTGGAGATGTGAGTGAGGGAGGGAGAGGGGAGAGAGAGGAGAGGGTTGGGTGGCGTCAAATTGGGTCAGTTTTGCAACTGTATATTGTCTAGCGTAACCCTAGCATGAAAAAACTATGATTTAAGAACAAAAACTAGTTTCTCCACTGAAAGAGACACTTGAGATGTGTCCCTTTACTCGGAGAGGTTTCACGCCATATAAGGTAGTCAGTAAACAAAGTGTGGAAGAAGTAAAGATGGAGGAGAGAGGGGAAGTGAGAGAGGGAAGGAGAGAGGGGAAGGAGAGAGGGGAAGGAGAGAGGGGAAGGAGAGAGGGAAGGAGAGAGGGGAAGGAGAGAGGGGAAGGAGAGAGGGGAAGGAGAGAGGGGAAGTAAAGATGGAGGAGAGAGGGGAAGGAGAGAGGGGAAGGAGAGAGGGGAAACACACAATACATACACAGTGTTTATAGTACCTGCTCTCAGTCTGGAAGCTGGAGTGAAGTCCCACCAGAAATGGATGGTTGGAGGCCTGCTCAAACACATGTTTCTCCGTCTGCACCCAATCAATGTCCTGGGAGGAGGGGAGGGGGGAGCAATATCATACCTCACAAACAACACGACGTGTAGAGCAAATCAGTAAATTTTAAGGTTTCCACTAAATTTACTGCGGCTGGACATTTTTATACTAGTGAAACGAGCGAATATGCAGTCACTTTTCGCTCAAAATCAACACATTACACTTACGAGTTTGTATGGAGAAAATGAACATTGAAGAAAGACAGTAAATAGAGGGGAAAAAAAGAAAGATAGACGCACCTCCTCATCCATGACGAGGTCCTTCTTGATGACCTTCATGGCGTATATCCTCTTTGTCGACTTTAGCTCCACCATCAGGACCTTGGCATACGACCCTCGGCCAATCACCTTGAGGATGTTGAAATCCGCCAGCGAGATTCGGGACTCTGCGACTGGGTTGGTTCCCTAGGAGATGACAGACGAGACGGACGAGAGACGGACGAGAGGGACGAGAGAGGGACGAGAGACGGACGAGAGACGGACGAGAGACGGACGAGGCAAGAAACGAGAAGTGTGGAGTAAAAAGGACAGGTAAATTTAAGACGAGAAAAGAGGGAGAGAAACGAGAGAAAAAAAAAGACTCAACCTAAAAAATACATCCGTGTTCATACAGAATTTGTACACAAAATAATAGGAAAGAGGAGAAATGCTTCAGAAGGTAAGTATTTAAGAAACTGTGGGTAAGTAACACAAGTGTTACGGAAAAGGTACGCAAAATTTGCAAACTGCACAACACGAGTGAATATGGAGTTTAGTTGGAAGTACTGATGAAGTAGTGAGATGGACATCTCTCTCTCCCTCCCTCCCTCCCTCTCTCTTGTCTCCCCGTACCTCTTTGCGAAGGTGCTGGTTGTATTCATCAGTCTGTCTCACTTTCTTCACTCGTCCCTCTCCCTCCTTCTCCTCCTCCCCCTTCACCGGCTGCATCAACAACAACAACCATTGTTAGAAAACTCATGTACGACGAAATTCATGTAGAAACAATAACGACGAGACTACAAGATCAAAAAATACGATAAAGGTACATTTTCCCTTTCTTTTATATAGCTTTTTACGTTACTCACTAGATGAAAGACTGGCCATATGTATGTATGTAATACAACATAATAGGTAGCAACACCAAGTGGTAGAGAAATGTAGAAGCAAAAAATGATGGGGTAAATAAACTGAGTTCAAAAATACGTTCTTCCCTGTGTATTTCTAGTTACTTATGTACTCACCGGATGTCCTTTGCATACCTCCTCTGGTTTGAGGAAATAAGCACACCTCTTGTGCACCGTCATCTTGCACGCCTCACAGCGGTAACCTTGGCGACCTAGGCCCCATATACGGTCGTGACATTTCTCGCAGTAGGCCGTCTGGAATCGCTTGGCAACGAAACCATGTCCGTTGACCCTACGAACTTTCTTCCAACGCCGTGCCCCACGACGCTGGTAGATACGCACTGTGGGGGTGGTTACCATGGAGATGCTGCCGTAACAACAGTGATAAACAATGATGTCACTCACTGTCTTCTCCACGGCAGAGTTTGCCCGGCTCTGGGGGATTCCCCTCAAATACTGCACACAACAAGAGTGCAAGAGGTAGGATAAACATGTGAATAACATCTCCATGGTAACAGGCTCCACCCACCATGAAGAAATAGTTCGTTCTCCTGGTTGTAAAAGTGGAGTCGCACGGCTTCATCCCACTCTCTCTGGCGGTCCATGGTCACACTCACTGGGTCACCTGACAGTCATGTGACACATAGAGAAGATCACATGTTAGTAATGTGACAGAAGAGCAGGCTTGGGGGATGATGAGGCATGATAGGAATGCACTTTATTGTGTAAACAATTTTGTAAACATTGACACCTCATACTACTGTACATGTAGAGAGGAGCAAGTGAGGGAGGGAGAAGTGAGGGAGGGAGAAGGGAGGGAGGGAGAAGGGAGGGAGGGAGAAGTGAGGGACGGAGAAGGAAGGGAGAGAGAAGTGAGGGAGGAGAAAGAGGGCAGTAGAGAGCTCACTACTATCAGGGGAAAGGGAAGGATCATGTTTCACTCGGTCCCCAGACTTTTCTCTACTGCAGTTACAGCATCACTAAGTGTTCAGTGGACCAGCTAAGACTACTACTCCTCCCTAGTCTCCCCACACCCCACACACACTGACATGTAGAGTCTGTCACTGGACACCATACCACTCCTGGGAGACTACACAACACAATATCTCGTCCCACACTCCCATACTACCATACATTGTAGGTGGGATATATGTATAGCTGTACATCATAGAGACTACACAACAGTACCCTCCCAAAAACTACTCTCTCTATTTCCTCCCACTCTCTCTCTCTCTCTCCCAGCTGTGCATATAGCTGCTGGACAACAACAAGAAGCAAACACTGCTCTTCTGTGCTGCAACAAAAGCCTGTAGCACCATAATATTCCTAATGTCCATATACTTACAGTATATACTTCTTCCTTGTGTACTGACTTCTATTGAAATGAAAACAGAAGCACAGGGATCGAAGCTACTATTGGTCATCAGCTACACACAAAGCTAGTTTCTTTCTCACAGCAACACAACAACTATGGACACAAACACAGAGGGCTCAATATACATATGTACATACAGACTTGGTGGGGGCTGGAATATAGCTATAATACGGTACCTTCGACGTCGAGCCATTTGAGGTTGAAGGGAGTTTCGGTGCTCATCTCAGTGTGTCTCCGTATCTCGGCAGCCACGTCTCCTAGAGACAGGGAGGGCGTCAGGTGGAACCTGAACTCTCGCCTGACGGAGATGAGAGGGATGAGTTTGGAGAAGGTGGTAGCTACAGTGTATGTTCTGTATTGAGGGGAGGGAGGATTTCTTACCCTTTGAAAGTCAGCCTGACGGGCAGTTCTGTTTCCATGATAGCCGGTTTGTCGAAGGCCGGGGGGAGAAAGACGAAAGACAAAGTGTCGCTAGTCAGAAGTTCAGCATCTAAGAAGCGGCAGCACAGGCACGAGAGCTTGATTTGTACTACAACTTGAGGAAGGACAGTCTTTCGCTTCTCTGTACAGCTACAGTCACTGTTGTCGCAGTTGAGAGTGTGGGAGGGTACCACCGCGTTGGCGGAACCACGCCCCTTAGTAAATATTTTTCTCGGGTAACCCGATGAAATGTTCCACCACGATCAAATTTTTTTGTGAGGGTAGTCTTACCCAAATAAGGTCTCGCGAGTGTGTCAGTGCGCTCGTGACGTTTACCGGTAGAGAAGGGAAGAAAGGAGGGAGTTAGTGAACCCGTCTGGTAGCAGAGAGAGGAGAGGAGAGACGGAGAGACACTAGGAAGAAAGCCAGACGCAATGGTAAGGACTGGGGGCGGGAAGCTAGGTAGCGGCGAGACAGGAATATCGGCCTTTGCGGGAGAGGGGCGGAGGAAAGGGAGGTTGCCATGTGTAACTGGCCGCGTGTCCTGGACGAGGCCCAAATGAAGAGAAAGTGTCTGCGGGGACTGGCAGTCTAACCTGTCTTTAGTCTGCAGAGCCAGGGTGTATGTTGACACTCCCTGGGTCAGCTCATCAACAGCTCAGCCCCTCAAGTGAACCTGTGTTCAGTTCACCTACTCCTCCCTCCATCCTTTCCTTCTCTTCATGTCTACAGTATATATAGTAGGGTTCTGGGACTGTGCTAAGTGAACACATACTCCCCTCTCTCTCCCTCCTCTCTTCCCTCTTCAGGCAAGCCATGAGCAGCAGCTAGACTGTGCCCTGGACCTAATGAGGCGACTTCCTCCTCAACAGATAGAGAAGAATCTCTCCGACCTCATAGACCTGGTGTGTGTGTGAGACATTGTTCTAATTAGTGCCCACCCTTCACAGGGGTAGTTGTCTTTGTGTCTGAGACGGCAAAAGTGTTGTGTTACCTCTTACCATTGCCCTTATTTGGTCTCCTGTTGTCACTTGCACTACTTGGATCCTTTATTTCTTTTTCGCTTGTCCTGTTCTTCGTTTCTCTCTCACTTTTGTCGTTTGGTCTTTCTTTTTGTTTTACGTGTGTGTGCCTCCCTCCCTCTCCCTCCCTTGTTTCTTCCCTCCCCTCCCTCCCCTCTCTCTCTCCCCTCCCTTGTTTCTTCCCTCCCCTCCCTCCCCTCTCTCCCCTCCCTCTCCCTGAAAGGTTCCCTCACTATGTGAAGACCTGCTGTCGTCGGTGGACCAACCTCTGAAGATAGCTAGAGACAAGGAGACAGGAAAAGACTATTTGTTGTGTGACTATAACAGAGATGGAGACTCGTACAGGTCGGTGGGTAAACCCCTGCAATTAGTGGCTCATTTACACCAGTACGTTTGACCTAAGGCTCCAGATCACAAGAATATCGTAACTAAATCCTATAGCTATCAAACTGGGGGGAAAACGTGGCACTAAAGTTTCAAACGATGTTCTGTATACTGGTATGACATTGTGTATGTATGTGGGAAGGAAAACAGTCTGTCTGTATAATTATGTATAATGTACAGGGAGTACTGTATATGTTGTATTTGTGGAGGGAGTGGAGAGTGGGAAGGAAAGGAAACAGTGTAGAGAGTGAGAGCTCCAGCCAATACACTGCTGTCCTATCTCTCCCCCACAGGTCCCCATGGAGTAACAAATACGACCCTCCCCTGGCTGACGGGGCAGTCCCCAGCGACCGACTGCGGAGACTGGAGATCGAGGCCAACCAGGCTTTTGACACTTACAGAGAATTGTTAGTGGAGGGAGGGGGTGGGGGGCAGGGGAGGGCAGCAGAATAGTGGCGAGATAGGGATGGTTACAGCAAGATAATGTTTATTATTCCACACTCCAACAATAGCCATATGGTTCTTTTCCATTTTGTTCCCTTGCGTGCCTGCAAAAAAATGCCAAGTCATTGAAACCAGGGTAGGGGTTTATGAATAATGGAGTGGTGAGATAGGATTATTCCATGCTCCAGCAACAGTCAAAGTATTAGGGATAGTTGGTTTGTCTTTTCGTAAACTCGCGTTCTTACAAAAAATGCAAAATCGTTGAAACCCTCATGGGTGTGGGGTTGCAACTTATTTTCTACACAGAAGAACCAAGTATCCCTTTACTTTGAGGATCCTTTTCAGAGGTTTCACTGTAGCTCTTCCTCCCACCTTTATCCTCCCACTCTGTTTCCCCAGGTATTTTGAGAGTGGCGTGTGCTCAGTCTACCTGTGGGACTTGGACCACGGCTTCGCCGGTGTCATTCTCATCAAGAAAGCCGGCGACACGGAGAAGATCAAGGGATGCTGGGACTCAATCCACGTGGTGGAGGTCCAGGTGTGTCCTGTAGGTCGTCCTATAGGACACCCAGACTCTCGTGCCTCCTCTGTTACAGGAAAAGGCACAGGGTCGAAACGCCCACTACAAGCTGACGTCGACGGTGATGCTGTGGCTCCAGACGATCAAGGCTGACTCTGGGACCATCAATCTCGGAGGATCCCTCACTCGGCAGGCAGAGAGCGACCACGCCGTCTCAGACGCCAGCCCCCACATTTCCAACATCGGGAGAATGGTGGAGGTAGGTCACGTGATAGTCACATGATCTGGTGGGTAGTGACCACACCCCCTTTCATTCCCCCAGGACATGGGAGAACAGATGAGACAGACGTTGAACGAGATCTATTTCGGGAAAGACAAAGGGTGTTCTACGACCTCAGGTTGGTGGGCGGAGCTTGACCTTTGTACCTACTACATGTAGAGTTGTGCAGCAGTATTTTTGCTGTTACCATAATATGAAGTGTGTTTGTAGCTCAGGTTGCCGTAATGCTTTGCTTTTTGCACCTATTTTCCAAATGTGCTTCCCCACTTCAAACCCATGTGGAGTGTTTATGCTAAACATGTAAACAACAATGGCAAAGGCAAAAACAACACAATGGCACCCAGGACAGTTTGTATAAACTATTTGTGACTGAAGTTTGTTCTGCTACACATCTCTCTCTCTCCTTCCTCTCTCTCTCTCTCTCCTCTCTCTCCCTCTCCTCACCAACTGCAGGTCTGTAGGAGACTTGAAACTGGCTAACAAACAGCGGCTGTTAGCAGCTGAACTGAAGGAACGGATGCACGCGAGCTAATTCCTCTACACGCGTGCAAAATCCTCTGCCACGCGCGCTAGACGTTTATTCTAGTTTTCAACACATGACTAATTAAATTGCACACTCTACAGCTATCGTCCACTGTACTGTGTTAGACAGACCAGAGGCTGCCTGGCCGTCTGGTTGAATTTAGTGATTTTCAAGCCGATAACTTATAGTTGGTGTTTCTTGTACACATACAGATTGTTTGTTGTTTACACTAATTATCAATATTGTGTACTGCGTGTTCTTAGAGATTTCCTATAAATTTGATATAATTATATGTGGGAAGTGATACAATGCACTAATGTACTAAGCTAAGTGTCGTTAATAGAGAGGTGTGCTTTATTTGGAGGATTCTTCAAAATCGTTGAAACTAGGGGAGTGGACTGCAATATTATTGGAGTGGTGGAATAATTATCGTTGCAACTAGAGGAGTAATCAATACCATGCCTGACATAATAGAGAAATGGTCTCAAACGTCAACAGTGACAATTTTGACAGGGAAAGAAGTTGATTGCAGAGTAGTTAGTTTTTGTACGCATGCGCAATAAAGTTGAGGATCACGCGAGGGAAATATCTCCAAATAAGGCATCATTCAGCTACGCCCTTCCTGTTCGTGGAGCCAGCAAAACGCCGCGCGTCTCTTCTTCGATCTTCTTCCTATCTCACATCGAGCAGTCGTGTTGGTGCCCAGAGATGGCTACTGGAGGTGGGGACCAAGTCTGGACGTGGAAGAAACGTAAGCGAGCCGCGCACCCCACACAGAAGAAATAAAATGATAACTGTTAGGTTATGACTGCCCAGTGAATGATGATGATGGTATTGTCTGATAGGTTGAGAGAGATGACGTAATTGCATTTTTGTATGACGTCATCACTAGCCTTTTCTTTTTACCATTACAAGATGTTACTGATGGTGTCTCCCTCTTTAGGACGAGGCCTTCATGTTGTGGGGGACCCACTGGGCCAGTCTCCACAGCCCCGAGTCCACCTCCCACCACATCATCTCTCACATCCAGAACACCTACTACCTCGTCAACCTCGTCGATAATGACTTTGTCTCTGGAAATGTCCTCTTTCAGGTTGGTTCACCAATAGTAGGTGTTTTGAGGCTCTCCCATACCTGTGTTAAAAATATAACAGTAAAGAGACAATTTTTGTGTGTCTCTCTCTTTTCCTCCTCCATTCCCCTCTCCTCCTCTTCTCTATATATCTGAGTCAGTTAGGACCCAATAATGACCAAGATGAATAAAATTCAGTTGGTTGCTTGTATTCACATTCATCCAATCACTTTTGTTTTCAGAAATTATGTACCAATGTTTCGACTAGAGCTAGGCTCATTTGTGCATACCTTAATACTCCCCGCTCATAATCTCTCTTTTTTCTCTGTAGCTTTCTCTCCCCCTCTTCTCTCTCTCTCTCTCTCTCTCTCTCTCTCTCTCTCTCCTCTCCTCTCCTCTCCTCTCCCAGCTGGTGAACAAGGTACTGGACCGTATGAGCAAAGCCAGTAGTCCCACAACTGAGACTGACCAAAACTCTCTCCCCTCCTCCTCCTCATCTTCATGACTTCCTATTGTCTAAAATTGTTTATTGCGCGTGCGCACATTTTTGTTTACAAATCACGTGATTCTCGCAGCCACGCCCTGTGCTCATTTCTCGTCTGGGTTTTATTCTTCGCCCAACGTTTGCGACAGTTTTCAAGGCCCGCTTTCGATCGACGAGGTCGACCACTGACGACACAGTAGTACAGCCGGCCAGAAGCAACTCACGTGACTCAGAGATGGCTACTGGAGGCGGGGATCAAGTCTGGACGTGGAAGAAATGTAAGACAGTCGCCGCGAGGAAATATAATGATAACTGTTAGGTTATGGCTGCCCAGTGAATGATGATGATGATGGTATTGTCTGATAGGTTGAGAGAGATGACGTATGTAGAGTTACGTCATTTTTGTTTTGTATGATGTCATCACTTTAGCTAGCTATATAAGATATTCGATGAAGGCATTATTGTTACTGATGATGTCATTGTCTTTTCCTCGCAGCACTCCCTCCAAATAAAGCCGCACTCAGGAAGGTCTTTGAGAACACCAGTTACCTCAGTCACCTCTGCAGCTATCTCTCCATCCCTCATGATAAGAGAGATGTTGACAGTGCAGTAGAGTACTACGTACAGAGTACAGATCCAATGAAAATGAGAAAGATGATATTCAGGCTGGACCGGATTGGAGACACAGTTCTAGCAGACTCATTGATGGAGTATGCAGAGCCCCCAGCAGGTATGGCTACAATAGAGAACACAACACAGCCAGTCAATTGTATACCTCTGGCTATATTGAAACCCACCACAGCATGAGCTGTGTGTACATCATCAGGGTTTCATTTAGAAGTCGATCCAAGGGAGGGGGGTGGGGGAATTGTGAAATAAAGGGGGGCAAAGCTGTATCCGTGTTTGAAGCACACGGCAAGTAGGGGGGTCTGGCTTGGGGTCTGGCTCCCCCAGGAAATTTATGTTTTTTAGATTTTCTGAGATTTCTTCTGGTCAGGGTCTTAGAGAAGTGTTAATTTTTGCAGCATAAATAACTGTAAAAATTAAAAGCACTAAAGTGCAAACCCTCGGCGAATTGTGCATGCGCGATACTGCTAATTGATGGGCTGGGCTATTTTTATGCCTTTACTCGTTGTATCCTGCTAGTAGCTCGCGGAGAGTCTGGCACGGGCTAGCTACAGTAGTAGATAGCATGCGGGAGTCGATACATGCCCTTCGTTGTGACTTCTTGTGCCTTCAAGATACACAGAGCAAGTGGTCGCGGTCGAGGTGAGCCTGTGCTAATTTGCATATTGGCTTGTTCACTTGCCTTTCACGCCATAACTTTTGAACGCAGAAGTTATATCAAAATCACCTTTTTTAAAATGAGGCCAGTGTAGCGATGAACCTGTTCGTGTCGCTATTTCATTGTCTCGTTGCGCTTAGTCGCAGAAAACGTGGTGACAGACGAACGGACAGACACACTCAGTCACTCACTCACACACACACTCACGAACCAAGTACCGTACCCCTCCCACACAGAGGGTTAACTACTGTGTGGCAATAGCACACTACACAGCTGTCTGCCTAGGTAAGTCTTGCACAATCAAAGTATGTAGTTTACAAGTCTTGTGAATGATGTCATTACTTGGACTAAAAATAGTTGCCAGCTGCCTAGCTGTGAAGTATGATATTATGTGAGTCGGCTTTAGTTAAGCAAGTCTATGTCGATATGGGCATTAGATCTTACTTTAGAAGCTCCTGTAAACCATCTACGATAGTATATACCTACTGGTTTAGGTGGCATAGTGACTATAGTGTGTGGTACTGTAGTTGATATTATGTGAGTCGGCTTTAGTTAAGCAGTTGATA